AATGCAAAAGAAATTTCCGTCTGAAATATAAACGTGAATCGGGTCATTATCATGAACCAACAACTATGCTTAAGAATGGCTGGACCATGTCGGAATGTCAGGGCTGTGTCTGCCCACTCACAGGGGTGAGTCACGTGACCAGTGTCACAGAGCTAGCTTCGGATGAAGGTGGGACTTACACCCAGGTAACTCCAGCACCAAGGTGTGAGCCCCTCCATGACACAAGGCCCAGAAAGTCCCATTCTCATGGGTAACAGGACTCCCGAGATGGGAAACTGCGGGGCAGGAACAAGTGCCCACTTTTCAGGGACCCAGAACAGGATTCCTTCAGATGCCTCATTATCCTTTTGCTGACGTCCATGGAAAAGCAAGGCTGGCCCTGATGGCGTTCCAGCATCGACCTCCTGAAAGACAAGAGGAGGCGATCCCATGACTTCCTCTGAATCTCAGGACTCGGGGCGAATCCCAAGCTTCTTTGGCTTTTGCGCCCTCTGGTGGTCGTATCTTAAAACTGACGCGGGCAGGAGCTCATTGGCCCAGGTCCGCTTGTTGGCCTCCCAGCTCGCGAAGGAATCTAGCTAGGGCGCAGGTGCGTGAGATTTCTCCACTTCCTGACTAGTCTCCACGCTGCGCTAGCGCAGCTTTTTCTGAACCCAAAGCTGATCATTTGCTTCCCTGCGGATCCTCTTCCATCTGAAGATAAAGCCCAGGCCTTCCCATCCCCCAGGATGCAGCCACAAAGTGGCCCTTCCTCCCTGTCTCCCCTCCTTTGTCTTCACACATGCCTTGCCTTTACCTGACACACCCTGCCGGACACCTGGCAAGTACCCGCTGCTGGTTCACTCTCCGCCCAGGGGCACCTCTGAGAGATCCATGGTCACAGTTCTGCAGCTCTCTGGGCTTTAAGTGGCTTGTCCAGGTGCTACCATGTCTCTCTATATATATTTTTAAAGATTTATTTATCTATGTGAAAGGTAGAGCTGCAGAGATAGAAGAAATCTCATCACTGGCTCACTCCCTCAATGTCCACGACAGCCAGGGCTGCGGTGAAGCCAGGACGCAGGAGCCCATGCTGCTCTCCCATGTGTGAGGCAGGAACCCAAGCACGTGGGCCATCCTCTGCTGCTCCAGGCACAGCAGCAGGCTGCTGACAGGACTGGACACGGGCACTCTTGTGTGAGATGTGGGATCGCAAGTGGGGGTAACCCAGGCACTACAGTGCCCGCCTCGCGCCCTGCCAGTGACTGCCATTCTTGAGAGCCAAGAATAAGAAAAATGTCTCATTCAGTGCCATCCTCCCAGCACACAGCACAATTATTAGACAACAGTAAGTTCTCAATAGTTGTTGAATGAATGAGCAAAAGAATAAAACAAAAAAACAAAATCATCTTTATTAAGCTCTCCCTTCTAGGACATACTGTATAAATTGTTTTTAATTCTAAAATAGTATTAATGTATTCTGAAAGAGCTATAGAGAGGAGAGTCCGAGAGGGAGAGGTCTTCACTTCTCAGATGATCGTAATGGCCATTTCTGGACCAGGCTGAAACCAGGAGCCCAGAGCATCTTCCAGGTCTCCCATGTGGGTTGCAGGGGCATCCTCTGCTGCTTTCCCTGGTGCAACTGGGACATGAACCAGCACCCATATGGGATACTGGCATTGTAGGTGGTAGTCTTAGCAGCTAACACCAAATGCTGATCCCTACATTCTGTTTTTATGGGTTTTTTGTTTTTGTTTTTATTGAAAGGCAAAGTTATACCGAGAAAGAGGCAGAGCGTGGTCTTCCATCCTTTGGTTCACTCCCCAAATGGCAACAAAGCCAGAGGGAGGCGAGGCCCGGCAGCTTTCCGGTGGAGGTCATCTGAAAACACTCTTACCAGTAGTGGGAACACCACGGGATGGACGAAGCTTAAACACTAAACAAGAGGCAGTCTCTTCGGTGAGTTTTGTTTTTAGACAGCCTACATGGCAGTGTTGCTCCTTAAAAACTGCCTCCATTCCAAGTAAATCATGATTGGAACAAACAGCAAGCTCAGCGTTAACATCAGTCTCATTTATTTCAAGACCTGCTGTCAGGTGGACGACAGCAGCAAAAGTGGACAGACTCAAAGTGATGGACAGATGTGTTAACATTTGTCCATTTCTAAACTGTCATTGAGAAACATTTCAGTAGGGCCACCCTCCTGTGGGAGTCCAGCAGGGCAGCCATGCTGTCTGGATTCTTGTTGTCACCAGGCAGAGCTGCTAGAGCTGGTGGTTTTTTGAAATGAACAAGGATGTGCCTGCTCGATTGGCTCTGCAGCCCCCTGTCATCCAAGGTCTGACGTTGTGGTCTCTGTTCTTCCAGTTTGCCTTGGATTGGTTTCCTGTAATCTTGGACACACTTCTTGTAAGGCTTCCATTTCTCCTTTTTCTTTTTCTTCTTTCTCTCTCTCTCCACAAAAATATAGATCTTTTGGGGATTGGTGCCTTGGCATAGTAGGCTAAGCTTCTCTCTGTCACCAGCATCCCTTGAGGGCACCTGTTCATGTGCTCCTGTTCCACTTCCCACACAGCTTCCTGTTTATGGCCATGTATTTGGGTCCCTGTACCTACATGGAGACCCAGATGAAGCTCCTGACTCCAAGCCTGGGCCAGTGCTGTCTGCCAGCTGAATATCAAACTAGTAGGGCCCAGTGGCGTGACCTAGCGGCTAAAGTCTTCGCCTTGAACGCGCTGGGATCCCATATGGGCGCCGGTTCTAATCCCGGCAGCTCCACTTCCCATCTAGCTCCCTGTTTGTGACCTGGGAAGGCAGTCGAGGACGGCCCAAAGCCTTGGGACCCTGCACCCGTGTGGGATACCCGGAAGAAGTTCCTGGATCCTGGCTTTGGATCGGCATAGCATCGGCCATTGCGCTCACTTGGGGAGTGAATCATTGGACAAAAGATCTTCCTCTCTGTCTCTCCTCCTCTCTGTATATCTGACTTTCCAATAAATAAATAAATTAAAAAAAAAAAACCAAAAAAACAAAAACCAACTAGTAGATGGAGAATGTCCTGCTTCCTCTGGAACTCTGACTTTCAAAGCAAATAATCATTAAAAAAAAAAAAGGCCAATAATACAATATTTCTAATGGCAATAAGAAAATCCAGACTAGAACCATTTCTGGCTAGATTGGCCGAAGCTCCTAAATTAATTGGCTGCCAAGTTCATTTCCTGGAATGAAGCCTCTGCCATCTTCCACACAAGGTTAGGCCTTTAAAAACTATGAAACACCAGGGGCTGTGTCACCACTTGCGACTCCAGGAACCCACAGCGGCTGGTTTGAGGCCTGGCCCCTCTGCTTCTGATCCAACTCCCTATAGCGTGCCTGGGTGGCCCAAGTGCCTGGGCCCTTGCCACCCACAGGAAAGACTGGGACGCGTTCCAAGTTCCAGTCTTTAGCCTGGCCCTGCTATGGCTATTTTTGCCATTTGGATGGAAGCTGGCTGTTATAACCATTTGTGGAGTGAACCGGAAGATGGAAGATCTGTAACTTTCTTTCTAATTCTGTCTTCCAAATATGGCCACAACAGCTGGGTCTGGCCAGGTTGAAGCCAGGAGCTAGTAAGTCCATCTGGGTCTCCCATACGGGTGGCGGGTGTCCCAGCACTTCGGCCATTCTCCACTGCTTTCCCAGGTGCGTTAACAGGGAGTTGGCTCACATGTGGAGCAGCTGGGATTTGAACCTGAACCCGTGCTCATGTGGGATGCCAGCATCCCTGGCAGAGGTTTAACCTACTGTGCCATGGCTTCCTGCATTGAATGACTGGCCTTTGGCCTGGGGCCCAGCCCAAGCTGCTGTGAGCATTTGGGAAGTGAACCATCAGACAGCAGATCTGCTGCCTCTTCAAAAAAAGTGCATCACTGTCCCTCCAACCTTTGTGGGATCTCAGAGAGCATTGAGCTCCCTGGGAAAGCGGGTCTGCGGGAATGGCCTTGCAGGACCCGGGCAGCAGGGGGCGATCTGTCCCTGAACTGGTGTTTGCTCAGGTCCTGGCCCCGCCCACTGTCCCGCCAAGGCTTGTGGCTCCCCATCCTCCTTGTCCTCTGATCATGCCAGCCTCTCCCCTGAACTGCTGCTGCTGTGGTGAGCTGTCCACCTGGCCTTGCTGTTCACCGAGTCCTACCATGGTTGTGGGCTGGGTACTGGGGTACCGGGGGCAGCACATGTGTGAAGTCCTGACCCCCAGCACTGAGAACGTGACCTTGGTTGGAAATACAGAAGCTGAGCTGATAGCTTTCCTCCAACACAGCAGGTGCCCACATGGGGGAAGTGGACGGACACACACAGGCAGGGAGCCAGCCAGGGGGTACCGAGCAGGGATGTGGTGATGGTCCTACCAGCCAGGGAACACCACGCAGGGCCACAAAGCTGGCGGCAGGGGAGAAGCTGTGACAGGTGCCCCCCCAGCCAACACCTCGGGCTTGGGCATTGAGCCTCCAGCGCTGGGAGACTGGGCACTTCCTCTGGGTAAGCCACCAGGTGTATGGTGTGGTGTTAGGGCAACCCTCAGGGCCTAATGCACTTGGACCTGGGAGGGAAGCTGGGGAAGTCGCACACCTCCCAGCCCCAATCTGGACTTGGAGGAGAGGGGTGAGGAAGGGCTTCCTGGAAGAGGTGATGCTAAGCTGGGAACTGATGGATGTATAGGAGCTGAATGGGCAGAGATGTCAGGAGAAGCACATTCCAAGTAGAAGGAAGAACCTGCAAATTCCAGGTTCTTGGACAGTCCCTACTCCACTTGTCCTGTCTCAGCAGCAGAAACCTAGAAACGCCTTTGTTCCAAGATGATGCTATGTACCACTCTCACCTGCAGGGGGTGCTCACAGACAATGCTGAAGCGGGCACGTGGCTAGCGGGCTCGCCCTGAGTAGCCTGGGGGCTGCAGCCCACCATGTGAGGGCAGGGCGGGCAGTTCTGTGCTGGCTGGCAACCCAGCCATGGCCCCGTTTCTCCAGAACACTCAAGACACATAATTCTCAGTACAAGTACTTTATTTCAATTACAATAGTGCCACACCGAACTACAGTAGCACAGAACATAATACAAAAAAAATAGATTCGCAGGCACCCACAGAGAAGCCAACACCCTCCCGTGCGCTGCCCCAAGCAACATGTGCAGCCTGCCGTCTTGCGCCCCAAGAGGCCCAGGACTGGTTCACTCCAGGGGGAAGGTGGGAAGATGGGGGGGGGTAGAGGAGGCACAGAGAGGACCCCAGGGCTGGGACAAGTCCACCTCGATGGCGCTGGTCACTGGCAGCCCCTCCTCTGATTAGTGGTCAGACCTGCCACGTGTGGGGACTGGGCTTCCTCTGCAGCCCCGCCCCAGTCATGGGCTGTCCCGGGCCAAGCAGGGACAAGAAGACAAGCTAGCATCTGCTCCTCTTGGACAGGAAGGTCCCGGCTTCCCGGGCAGGGGTGCAGTGGCCTGGGATGCACCAGGAGAGGCTGCAGTCGCCCCTGCATCAGTGTCTGGGGGCTCCTCCCACCTCCCAGGACAGCAGTCGGGGCTAGAGGAACCTAGGGCCATGACCTTGGGGAGGGGCCCTGGCACTGTGGGCCCCAGCCTGGGGGTGCTGCAGGGGCTTCCCTTCACAGCCCTGCCCTGGTGAGTTCCAGGACACTTGGGGACTCCATTGAGGGCACCTCAGGCAACAGGGGCTGTGGCCTCAGCTAAGGCACTAAGAGATGGCCTGGACACCAGGCCCAGGCCGGTGACGGAGGACCGAGTTCAGTGGGTGGGGCCGGGGACTGGAGGTGGACACCCACCAGGTGGGTCTCAGCGCAGTCTGGATCGGGGTACCTGGATACCCCCAGACTCTATTCAAGGGTCCTGACTTAGTCTCGTTGTGCGATGGCCATTGGTCCCCAGCCACAATCTTGGGGTGCAGACCCCTCTTTCTGGGGTTCCCACTGTCAGATTCTGGGGTCAGAGTCTGCAGGCAAGCTGAGCTGAGACAGTGCCCACAGTTCAGTGCCACTGGCAAGCTGGCTCTCCCACTGTACAAGATGACGTCAGGGGCCAGGGGGTACGTCCCTGCCCCAACCCAGCCTGGCAGATGAGAGACCTCCCCTGTCCACAGGTTACTTAGAAAGATAGCACAACATAATAAATATTCCAATCCTTTCCTTAAAAAAAAAGTATTTAAAATGCATTTTCTCCCTGAAGATTTCCAGTGTTTGCCACAATGGTACAAAATGGTTTCCCCAAAAATATATATTTAAAGCCTTTGACACAGTGGTTTTTGTGGTGATGTGGGCGGGGCTGCGTCCCACTGCCCATGTCATGATGGGTCGAGGCCTGCTGAGCAAACCACCAGCCTGCTGCCAAATGCCCACTGGCACGGTGCCCATGCCCCTGGCCTTACAAGTCCGTCACAGGGCAGCTCTCAGACTAGGCTGAGCGCTGGGCAGCCAGTGTTGGCGACCAAGCCTCAGGCGCCGGCGAGGACCCCAGGGTGGCCGAGGGGAGGCCAGTGGGAGGAGCCGGCTTGTCCTTGGCCCCTGCCCTCCTCCGTGGCTGTCAGCTTAGGCCCTTACCAGACCTCACATTTGTGTTGAGGGTTCATGGGCGAGCCAGACGGGCAGTGGAAGTGTTGGGAGAACTCCTTGGAGTTGGACAGGGACCCGATGACCCGGAAGCGGGAGGGGCTGTGCGGGTCGGTGATGAGGCCTTCGTGGGAGCTCTCGGGTGTGCGGACCGAGCACCAGACCTTGGCGGGGGCAACAAGGAGGGGGCAGTCACCTAGGGCCCTCAGGCCCTTGGAGTACTCCCACCAGAGCAGCGAGGAATGAGTTGAGGTGCAGGCCTGGGTGGTAAGACTGGACAGCGGGCTGGGGGTCCCCTGTGCCCACACCCTCTAAGGCAGGTGTCTGCAAAGCGGGTTCCTTTAGCCAGTGCAGCCTCTTCCTGCACTGCCTTGGGGGGCGCTCTGAATATCTCCCCACATCCTCTAGTGGCCTGGGGTTTGTCAGCTGCATGCCAGCTCAAGGGACCAGCTGGGTGGCATCCCAGGGTTTTAGGGACCTTGGGAACGCTCCAGACCCACAGACTTAGCCATCACCAGGTCCTCTCAGTGACCAGGCACCGAGATCCCTGCTGGGGCCTGGAGCCACAGTCCCTGCCACGTGGACCTGCCTTGGCTCCTCTAGCCCTCGGAATCCCCTGGGTGGACCACGCCTGCCCTGAACTCACCTGTGCAAACCCCAGGAAGAAGAGCTGGTCGTTGGTGAGGCCCAGGGTGGGCAAGGTGTGCTCAGGCCCGTTCTTCTTCACCCAGTTCTGGTAGGCCTGGCGGGGGGTCGGGGGGAAAACACAGAGCTTGGCCCTGCCCGCAGTGGGGGGAGGGCAGGGTGCAAGCTGTCGGCCAGGGCTGGCTCCTGGGGGGCTGGAACCCCACCTCTAGCCACAATCATCCTAGGAACTTTATAAAGAACTCTCCCTCTACTTCCACTTCCGTGACCCCCTCAGAGCAACGCTGCGTTAGCCTGTGACTTCCAGGAAGCGCCAGAGATAAACAGCCCCAGAAGCTGAGCAGCCCCCAACCCCCAGGAACAAGGGGTGTGGCTGCGACGCCCCAGAACGTCACAAAACAGCTGAGCAGGAGATCTGGCCCGGCCCATGGGCTTCGCGTTTCCTTCTAAAGAGTAAGTTAGACTGGGCTAGGGTGAAGGCTCAACAGGTTAATCCTTCTCCAGACACAAGCTTGTGTCTGGCTGCCTCACTTCTCATCCAGGTCCCTGCTCACAGCCTGGGAAAGCAGTGGAGGATGCCCTAAGCCTCGGCACCTGCGCCTGGACGGGAGCCCTGGAGGAAGCTCCTGGCCTCAGATGGGCGCAGCTCTGGCTGTTGCGGCCATTTGGGGAGTGAATCGGCAACAGAAAATTTCGGTCTTTGTCTCTCTTCTTCTCTGTAAATCTGCCTATCCAATAAAAATAGATACGTATTTTAAATATTTATTATTATTTTTTTATTGGAAAGTCAGATTTAGAGAGAGCAGGAGAGACAGAAAGATCTTCCATGTGCTGATTCACTCCCCAAGTGGCTGCAATGGCCAGAGTTGAGTCAATCTGATGCCAGCGGCCAGGAGCTTCCTCCGGGTCTCCCAAGGCTTTGGGTTATTCTCTAAGCTTTTCCAGGCCACAGGTAGGGAGCTGGAAGGGAAATGGAGTGGCCGGATATGAACTGGTGCCCATATAACCCATAATTTTTTTTTAAAAGAATAAGTTAGATTGGGTCTGATGCACTAGCCTAATGACCTTGCATGCACAGTGGTTCTAATCCTGGCAGCCCTGCTTCCCATCCAGCTCCCTGCTTGTGGCTTGTAAAGCAGCTGAGGATGGCCCAAAGCCTTGGGACCCTGCACCCCCGTGGGAGACCTGGAAGAGGCTCCTGGCTCCTGGCTTTGGATTCACTCAGCTCCAGCCATTGCAGCTGCTTGGGGTGTGAATCATTGGATGGAAGATCTTCCTCTCTGTCTCTCCTCCTCTCTGTATATCTGACTTTGCAACAAAAATAAATCTCAAAAAAAAGTTAGATCATCTCATTCCTGTTTTAAAAGCCCTGCCATGGCTCTCCAGGGCAGCCCAGCGGCAGGGGCTGGGCCCAGGTCAGAGCCAGGAACTCGGAGTCTCCCACATGACCCAGGCATTTGGGTCATCTTCTGCTGCTTTCCCAAGAGCAAGAAGCTGGATTAGAAGCGGAGCAGCTGGGATCCAAACAGGTACTTATCAGATATTGTTGTCACAGGTGGTACTTTCACCCACTGTGCCACAATACTGGCCGCACGACTACCTTCTCCTTGCCTCTTGCCCATCACTTGGTCCTCATTCCTTCCAGAAGGCGTGCCTTGGCCGCCCTCCTCCCACTGTTCATTACTTTATCCTATTTTAATATTATCGATTTATTTCAGAGACAGGGAGAGGAGCTCCCACCTCATGGCTCATTCCCCGAGTGCCCACGACGGCTGGGGTGAACTCAGGAGCAGGGAATCAGCTCAGGTCTCCACGCAGCAGGACCCTGCAGCTTGAACCATCACTGCTGCTCCAGGCTCTTCAAGGGCTGGCAGCTGGGGCAGCAGCCGAGCTGAGGCACTCAGCATGGACGTGGCATCGTGCGTGCCGCTCCCGCAGCCCCCTCTTCTGGGTTCCTCATCTTCTTACCATCTGCCCCAACCTTACCCATCTGGGGTCTTCTGCCCACACCCCCCCTCCCTGCCTCTGCTGCAGGCTTCCAGGCCAGCAGACCTGTCTTAGCTATCTGTCTTGCCTCTGACCCCCCAATCTAAAAGTCAACACGTGGAGGGCAGAGAGTCCCTGTGCCTGTTTCCGAATGGACAAGTAATCTGGTGCTTCCAGGCCCCATGCTGTCACCTGAGCAAGGGAGGACCCCAACACTGATGGTGAGCTGGCGGGGTGTGCTTGCAGCCCGTGTCTCACAGGAGTGCCCATGGAATCCTCGCTCTCCTCTGGGGGTCAGGACGTGCCCTGCTTCCCCCATGGCTGGCATCTCCCTGGCTAACTTCTCCAAGTGCCAGGCTGTGTCCAAGCCATCCGACTCCATCTTCCCAACAGCCCAGGGTCCCACGAGCATCAGGTGTTCATGGCCAAAGCACAGCGAGGCAAGCTGGGGCTCATAACTGGCTCTACTGCCCCTCCCCTTCTCTCCCTCGCCACCACCTGGCGTGTTGGTACCTTGGCTTGCAATGGTCAGAACAAGCAGACTCTGCAGGTGACCCACGTGTGTGCCAGGCTCTGCCAGGACCTTCTTGGCAAACCTTTACAGCAGCCCATTTCACAGATGAGCAACTGGGAGGGCGGCTGTGGCTGCAGCTGCCCTGGGTCCCTGCTCACCAACACTGGGCTGGGGCTCACCCGATAGGCCGCCTTGAGGCCCCCGTTGTCGGCAATGTTTTCGCCAAGGGTGTGCCGGCCGTTCACAGGCTCGCCGTTCACGCTGTAGTTGCTGTACTGCTGCACCATGCACTCGGTCTGCTGCTTGAAGGCCTCCACGGAGGAGTTCTTCCACCACGGCCGCAGGTTCCCGTCCTTGTCGTACTCACGGCCTGCGGGCAAGCGGAACGGCTCACCCACTCGCTGCTGCTGGCACAGCTCCCGGGAAGAAATGGCGGGGGGGGGGGGTCTGTCCACCTACCCCCATCCTCCAGCCAATGTGAGGGTCCATGCCCACAGTACTGAGGGCAGGCTGGTACAAATAGTGGCTCCAGGCCTCAGGGTTCCCACCTCTCCCTCCTTAGCTATAGGGTCCTCAGGACAGGAGACCAGAGCGGGGATCCTGATGCTGGCTGGGGAGCACATGCTAATTTCACCTCCTCGCACCAGGGCTTGGACCCTGACGTGTCCAGGGCAGGGGAGAGAAATGTACACCCCCCATTCTGGCGACTTTCCTGTGTGTTTTACAGCTCACCCCCCAGCCACCACAAGAGCTTGGGGTCAGCCATTTTACAGGCCAGGAAATAGAGGCCTGGGAAAATGCTGAGGCTGGCTGAAGTCCACACAGCCAGCAGGTGGCAGGGCCACGATGCAAATTCCAAGTCTTCCACTTCCAAGATGTGAAAGGGCAGCAAGCGGGAGTAGGGGCACAGGAAGCCACTGGGCTCTGGAAAGGGGACCCCAAGAAACCCGAACCTTGATCGTCAAAAGCATGAGTCAGCTCGTGGCCCACGACGACACCGATGCCACCAAAATTTAAGGCTCTGGAGGACAAGAGAGAGAACTTGAGCCAAGTCACGAGGCCCGTGATCTTGGGCCCAAGATACGGCAGAATCCTCTGGAGGGTGGGGGCCCGCCCCCGGAGCTGGGGTGAGGCAGGGCCTGGGTGAGGCCGCCGGGGCTGTGCTAGATGCACTCAGGTCCACACTGGCTGCTCCACAGGGAGCAGACCCAAGCACCACACAGTTATCAGCAACCACCCCGGGACCCGGGACCACGGGAGATGCTTTCTGAGATGGGGCACCCACCCCTCCCGTCTCCTGGTCCCCCTTGGAGTGGGGGCACGGTCATGGGTGGGGATGAGGCAGTGTCTCCCTACGTGGGGCTCCCCTACTCTGGGGGGCTTCCAGATCTCAGGGACCCCCAAGGGTAGGGTGGGGGGATATGTATTCGCTCCCACGGTGGCTCGTCATGGGGTGGGAAGCCAGCGGCAGCAGCGTACTTGGGCGAGGAGCGAGTGTAGAAGGGCGCCTGCAGGATCCCGGCCGGAAACACAATCTCATTCTTGGTGGGTGAGTAGTAAGCGTTCACCATGGGTGGGGTCATGCTCCACCTGCAGGCAGTGTGTGCAAGGCTTCAGCAGCTGGCCGGGGGCTCCCCGACCCCAGGCCTGAGCTCACACAGGACATGGACAGGCAGCAGTGGATCTAAGAGGGGACCCACATGCCCATCTGTATGCAAGGGCTTGGCTTAGCAAGTGCCGCCCTACCACAGACTAAATCACGTGGGCTCCAATGGCCCCATGGTAGCAGTGCAAACACCACTGTCTTGGGTACAACACCATCTGCCAGCAGATCTCAAAGTGGGGTTTGTGGGCACCTGTGGAGGACCCCAGGACCCTTTCTGGGGGTCCATGAAGGCAAAGCTACTTTTGTCACACTACTGGGCACTCTGGCTTGGTTACAGCGCCAACAGGCGCAAAAGTCACAGTGGCCGCTGCTGCAGCGCCTAGGCACGCACAGGCGAGAGTCCCTGGTCGCCGCCACCTTCCTCGGCATGGATTCCTGGCAGAAAGCAGCGAGAAAACCTCCCAGCCTCAGCTGACTCCCCTCACTGGCTCGGCCTGGGGGAGGTGGCCACCTAAGCATTTAATTAAACCCAGTCTTTGAAGTGCTTTGTGACCAAGTGGGAGATATAAAAGCACTCTGCTTTCTTCATAAAACAGCACTTGCAAGAAGGAGAGAAAGAGAGAGGGAGAGAGAGAGAGAGAGACCCAACCATCTGTCAGATCACTCCCCACATGCAAGGAGCTGGGACCTTCATCCTGAGTTCCCAAGAGGCAGCCCAGGACCCAACTATCTAAGCTTCACCTGCCCCCTCCCCAGATGTGCAGGAGCAGGGAACAGAAGATCTGTAAAACAGCCAGCCACATCTCCCAGATGATGAGCAAGTGATGTTAAGATCTGTTCAAAGTGCAAAACCAACCAATGGGTGTTAGTACAACCAACTATGAAAAGTTTATGGATGTGGTTTCAGATGCCACATTGCAATTGACCTGTAAGGAGTTACCACTTGTGGCTGGAAATGGCACAGCACGTTAAGCTGCCACTTGTGACCTGGATGCCACATCAGAATGCCAGGGAAGAGCCCTGGCTTCTCTGCTTCCAATCCAGCCTCCTGCTAATGTGTCTAGGAAAGCAGTGGGTGATGGTCCGGGCTGTGCCTTACCACCCACGTAGGCGGCCAGGGACAGGTCTCCTAGCTTCACTTGGCCAAGTCCTGGCTATTGTAGCCATTGAGGAAGTGAACCAGTAGAAAAGATCTCCCTTTCTCAGTCTCTATTACTCCTTCTCTCTGTCATTCTGCCTTCCAAACAAGTAAAAATTTATTAAAAACCCTCTCTTTGGAGACAGTTGTGTCACAGCAAGCAAAACCTCTGTCTGCAATGCCTGCATCCATTATGGGCACTAACTTGTGTCCTGGCAGCTCCACTTCTAATCCACCTCCCTGCTAGTGCATCTGGAAAAACAGTGGAAGACAGCCCAAGTGCTCGGGCCCCCGCACTCATGTGGGAGACTCGGAAGCCTCTGGCTTCTGCTGTTAGCCACTGAGGGCATCCAGGGAGTGAACCAGCAGGTGGAAGATCTGTGTCTCCCTCAAATGAACAAAGTAAATCTTTTAAAAGTATCACTCTTTTCCAACTAGCTATCAATGCGAGGCAAGATGTTCTTTATTTTTTTTTTTAATCTTGAGATGTGTTTTCTGTATTTCAAAATCACGTCGCAACTGAAAGAATATAGATGCAGAAAATAGATTTTAACTGCCTCCTGTGATGCCAGATAGCAAGGAGATTTACAAAAACGTCTTTCTTATAATTCATTTCAATGGAAAATAGTTATTTTTCGTGAAACTCCAAGCCAGCATCAGGGCACAGTGCGTTAAGCCACTGTCTGTCACACATCCCGTATGAGTGCTGGTGTAAATTCTGGCTATTCTACTTCAAGTCCAGCTCCCCGCTAAGGTGTCCAGAAAAGCAGAGGAGGATGGCTCAAGTGCTTGGGACCCTGCAACCCACGGGCAAGTCGGTCAGCCTCAGGCGCCTGCCCTTAGCCTGGCCCACCGGCAGTCCCTGAGGCCATCTGGCCTCCTGTCTGTAACTGTCACATAAACAAATCTTTTAAAAATTCCATAAAAATCAACATAACATATATGAATCATTTTTTTAGGGCTCGGTCGTTTTGTAAGAGTACAGAATGACGCTGAGATAGAAATGGTTAAAATGAAGGGCACGGTTGACAATTTCTATGCACTTATTCTCATTTTATCTGAAATGCAGACCCCCAAGGACCCTCCAGCCGCGGTCAGGCGCCAGGTGTCCCACATGGGCCGCAGGAATGCAGGCACTCTGCCCTGGCATGTGGTGAATTAAACTGCTGTGCCAAGCAGCCCCCACTCCCCTTCTCAGTAATTCTGCAGAGCAGAAGGGCCAGTGAGAAATGTGGTGAGGGTGAAATGGTACTTTCTCCAAGAACTCTGGAAACCACCTAGGTCCTCATGCGAGGAACATGTCCCCAAGGAGATGTGTTCAGGGAACTTGGACACCATGGAAAACCAGAGAAGAAATTTTAAATTATTTTACTTTCAAATAATCATGGATGTATTCACAGGTAGTAAAGAAAAAACTAGGAAATTCTAAACTCAACTATAGGACTTCATATAAACCCACACCAGTGCCCGTGCTAGGCATGGAAGGTAAGAGCCCTCCTTGCACCATGGTCATCAGAGAGGAAACAAGAGTGCTTGGATCCCTGCGGTCCACTAGAGGGTGCTAGAGGCAAAGAAACGAGCTGTCACTGCCCCCTGGTTTACAAGCAGCCCTAGTGGGTCGTCTGAAATTTGAGTGCCTTAGTTGTCAGGCCCACTGAGACAAAGACTTTGCTAGTTTACTTCCCAAATGTCCACTAAAGCTGGGGCTGGGTGGTCAGGTGAGGTATAGAGGCTTGAGTTGTTACCACTGCCTCCCGGGTGTGCAGAGCCGAAGCTGGACTATGGGTGGGGGAGGCAGGACTTGAACCAGGCACCCTGGCTGCCCTGAGCCATGACCTAGAAACCACACTAAATGCCACCTGTCCCTTGCCCCATCCCCGGAGATGATTTTTAAAAAGAAATCTTTAAAAATTATTATTAGGAGTAGTGATATTGGAAAGGCAGGATTATAGAGAGAGGAGGGACAAGTCTTCCATCTGCTGGTTCACTCCCCATATGTCCTGGCTGGACCTAAGCCAGGAGCCAGGAGCTTATTCCAGATCTTCCATGTGGGTGCAGGGACCCAAGGACTTGAGCTATCCCCCTCTGTTCCCAGGCTGTGAGCAGGGAGCTGGATGGGAAGTGAAGCAGCCGGGAGTTGAATCAGCAGGCGGAGGCTTAGCCTGATATGCCACTGCACTGGCCTCAGATGATTTTTGTAAAGACAGAAACCAAGCCTTACTCCAGATAACTATGCTTTAGGGAGGTCTGGGTAAAGGATGGGAGGCTGCTTCTTAATCTAGAGGATTTTTATGTACAGTGAGGCTTGAAAACTACAGCCATGGGGCATCCAGAACCTTCTACAAGCCTCTGTGAGGGCCAGTCTCCAAGAAGCACCCCTCCTGCTGGTGGGGGAGATGGGCCCCCTTCCAGCTTGACGCTGCCAAGGGGCTCCATGACCCAGGAAGCTCTAATGGAGGCCAGGCTGTGCACTGGGCACACAGATGGCGTGGCCACCCTCTGCCTTTGATCTCTGCACCCGGGAAGCTGGCTGGGGGCCCCCCAGTTGCCTCCCTCCCAGGCCAGAGCATCTGGCACACACTGAGCAGGTGGCGAGGCAAGCCCAGCCAGAACATCCCCCGAGCAGGGCGCCGGGACTCACTGGTCTCTGTTGGGGGCTTTTCTGAGCTGGTCAGCAGTGACCCTCCAGGAGAAGTTGAAAAAGCGCATGGCATTCTCAAAGTACAGGTCTGGGACAGCAGTGTACTGCAAGAGAGAGGAATGGTGCCGGGGTCAGGGAGTGTCCGACTGTGAGCAGCTCCTGGCAGCCTTGGCCTTCACCCTCCAGGGGCATTCCTCGGAGCCCCGGGGCTTGGGTCACGGCCCTCTGTGGCGTGTCAGCCATCTGTGACAGGACCCTCCTGTGTCTACGTCAGCCTGGAGCACGCAAGTGGTGTCTGTGACCCCTCCACCCCAGAGGCATCTTAAGGTCAAAATCACAGGGTTCTCTGGGGAGGAGGTGCCTCCAGGGGCTCCCTTTTGCACTCCACCTGTGTAGTTCCAGGGCCCGAAGCTTCCCGACTGTTTGATCCCCTATTTCGCACTCGCGTGCTGCAGCTAACTGTTGCTGGCAGTTGAGGTGGTTCCAAGCAGGCAGGGCCGTGGGCTGACCCAGGACACCACGGGGCTGCAACGGGCTTGCCAGGCCTGCTTCACCCCCAGTGCCACCCCATGTCACACGCAGGGCTACAGCAGCTATGCTGCCTCCCCCATCCCACCCACGCAAACCACCCAGTCCCAGCCCTGCCTCGGGCCCTTGCCAGGTGGGCACTGGGAACACACAGGCGGGCTGGAGGCCACTCACGTCATTGAAGACCTTGTCCAGCTCCTTGGGGTCCATGATGAAGCTGGGGTAGCCTATCATGTTGTAGATGGCGTCGGCCTGTGGACGTGCAGGAGTGAGTGGTCGCTGCTGCGCAGGCCCAGCCCAGGCTCCCTGGCCAAGACACCTGGCACCAGGCACCCTGCCCACAGGGGCGCACTCTTCTTTCTGGAAGCCCCCTCACCTCATTCCCACTTGTTCTTTGGGTTGCTGCTTACATGTCACCTTCCCAAGGAATTCTTATTGTAGAGTGAACATGTCCCCAAAGCTCACGCTTTGGAAACCGAATCCTGGGGCGGTGCTGTCCCCAGGGGACCCTGAGCAGTGACCGGCTCAGGTGGTCACCATTGGCTTGGGCTCCCGACACCGATGGGGTTGGCTCCGGGGCTGCTCCCACTCTCTGTCTTCCACCCTGTGAGCACACATGCGCTCTTGGCTTCCACACAGCAAAGGGTCCCCTCCGGAAGGCACAGTCCGAGAGTTCCAAGCCCTGACAACCTCAAGAAACCTGTCTCTGTTCCTTTCAAGTCCCCAGCCCAGGGAATGCCAGGAAAGCAGTGCAGCATGGATCCCAGGCCACCGGATCCCTCACTGCCCTTCTGCCCCTGATTCTGTGCAGGGTCAGCTTCGCAGCTACATGTGCGGTAGTGAGCCTCCTGCCACCGCTCAGCTCTGTTTGGCTGCCGGTTCCCAGAGGCAGAACACTTGTGGGCACTTCCAGGGCAGCGCCAGCACCTGCTACACACAGTGGCCCTGACCCCAGTGGCCGCCCGCCCTCCCTCCCTGGCTATGAGCCTCGTGCCCCTGCAGCCTCACCTTTTCCTTGGCCGACTTCCGGGTATCTTCGTCCATCCATTTCAGCGTGCTCAGGCTCTCCTCGAAGGCCTTCTTGATCTCCAAGATGATCTCGCTGGCCTGAGGGTCAGACGCCGCACGGTAAGGTCCTTGGCCCCGCACGGGACAAGGCTGAGTCCAAAGCTCAGGCCCTATGGTGCTGAGCCATGGCCTGTCCCCTTCCAGAACCTTCAGCATAGGAGCATGCATTATCATTCTTTTGGAGAAGGCTAGATACACAGCCCGACCCAGGTGGATCAGACCACACAACTCCTTTTTGATGGAATACATTTTAAAATCTAGGACCAGCATGTGGCACAGTGCATGAAGCCCCCGCTGCAGTGCTGGTATCCCATATGGACCCTGGTTCAAGACCTGGCTCTGCCACTTCTGACATTTTTTATATGTAGGCTATTAAGATGCCTGCAAGCCACATCCCAGTGCCTGGCTGGGGTCTTGGGGGCAGCTCCGACCGCAGCTTCTGCTCATGCAGGGTCTGGCAGGCAGCCCAGAGACAGGTTCCCGCCACCTGCATGGGAGAACTGGGCTGAGCTCCTGGCCCTGTGGCAGGTGCTGTAGGCACCTGGGCAGCGACTCAGCACATGGCGGCACTGAGCTGTGAGGAGCAGTTTTTGGAATGTAGGCCTGCGAGGGAGACGAACGGCGGCTCTTATGGCTGAACATCCTAGGGTAGCCTTAAGGCCTAATCCAGAGTGTAGAAGGTTCCAGACATGGGTGGGCAGGGCAGTACGACCCTGAGAGCTGAGGGCCTGACCCTGATTCCGACTCCTGGCCACACCGTGGAACACGTGTTGGGCTCTGTTTGCTGACCCACTTAGGAGGAACTGTACATATGCAACATGACCTGGGTGGTCCCCAGCTCACTCAATTCCCTGCAAGAGGGACGGCCCCACCCCCACCCCCCGGGAGTGGGGAAGGAGGACCTTCCCGTCTCTCTGGATCCCTGCACGCCAGTGACTGCCTTGCAGGGTCTCAGGGAGGGGCAGGTGCAAGAGCCCTGGGGTCATGGCAAGAGAGGCCCCCAGCAGGGATCAGTGTGGGCCAGCAGGCGGCTGTCACATCTCTGTCCCCAGCCACTTACTATGTTCTTGCTGTCCTCGGCGAAGGTCGCCTTGATGAACATGGGACCTAGGGCAAAGCCAAGGTTGTTCTCAGTGTCGCTCACACAGAACTTCCAGCGAGGGAGGCACGTCTGCAAAACACAAGGTAGGCGGTCACATGGCCCGGACCTCCTCCCGTGCAGCACTTTCCTTCCAGAACTTTCAGGATGCCTCTGGCCCAGGGGAAGCTATGTTAGGCACTGGCCCCAGAGCTCACGGGTGCCCTCATGGCCACACTGACCATTTCAAAGGTGCTAGGCTCTGCATGTGGCATTGAGATGACACAATGGACATTGTGGTGGGTCAGCTGGAGTGGTGGCTGGCGTGGGCTCCTACAGTGGGGAGGAATGTTGTGGGATGGGAGCCCAGCCCATAGTCTAGACTCCCACCTATGCTGCCTCAACCTGCTTCCTGGAGACCGGTGACTGGGCAGCAAAGAATTGTGGGAAGTTTCCCAGCTGCCCCGAAACCAGGATGCTCCCCAGAAGGCCGAGACCCCAAGAGTGGGAAGAGCAGCTGCACCACTGTGGGAGGCATATGTCACTTCTTGCTTGGCTGTCTCTCTAGACAGGCCACACCCCAGTAGCTGGCAGGGGTGGGGTGGGGTGGGGGGCAGAACCTGGCAGGACGCCTGGACTAAGGGGAGCCCCCTTCCAGGTGCCCAGGTCACTGGATGGCCAGCAAATGGCCACGTGTGGTGACCCTGTCCTGACTTCAATCCTGGGGCAGTAGAGGAAGTCAGGCCACCTGTACCCTGCCAGGTGGCAGCAGCCACTGGTGCTCAGGCTCGCCCGACACTGTGCACGCCAGCGCCCTCTGCAGATGACGGCAAGCACAGCAACATGTCAGCTGGTGACAAAAAGGGGCAAACTGCCGAGGGACGAGGGCACACAGGGTGAAGGCCCTGGGGGGTGCTCAGGGAGTGCTGGGAGGTACGGGCTCCACGGCCAAGCTTACTGACCCACACACTTTGCAAGTACTGTGTATTTTACTACATAGGAACTGAGGTCAAGTGGTGTGGAGTCCAGGGTACAGGCGGCAAGTCAGATGGCTGGGTCTGACAGCCTCCTGCACACTCTGAGCAACTCAGAACAAGTCCTGTTCCCTCTCGGAGCCTCAGTTTTTTCCTCTGTAAAATGGGAGTGAAATACGAGCCTAGCCCTGGCCCCAGGGCTGTGCTAGGAACCTGGTTAGAGGTGTACTATAAAGGTCATGCCCAGCAGCCATCATCACCCTGGCTGACCCTGGTTGCTGCCTTGGGGGGACCCAGTCTCCTCCTCTGGCCTGTGATGTAAGTAGCACTCACATATGCCTAGCTCCAGGACCACTGTCCCGATTCCCAACGGGACCCTTCCCTTTCAGTCCCAGGGAGGCCTGGGAGGAGCAGGAGGGGTCAGCCAGGGGAATCCCTGTTCTTCCCCCAATGGCAGAGTGGCACGGGGGGGCCACACCCAGAGGAACCCTGGGGAGTGCCTCCAGCAGAGTAGGGCTTATTTCCGCCAGCAGAGACCTGCTTTAACCAATCATCATCACCACCAAGAAGGGGCTTCCAAGGCAGGGAGGATCTTTGGCTATGAATTAGCTGAGTAGCCAGGACTCCCTGTCATCCTTTGATACGTAGCCACTTCCTTCTAGAAGCTTCTGCTCAACCCCCTGGCTCAGGTCCTTGTCTCCTACACACACCTGGGCAGACCTCTCCAGGGGATCTCTGCATTCTTTTCCTTGGCATTTGCCTCCTTCACATGTGCCATGGCCATGGGGAAAGTGCCATGGCTGTGCCAGCCTACAGTCCACAGCCTGGCATAGGACAGGTGCCCAGCAAGTACACTGGATGAACAGTAACCGGCTTACCTTCTTGGTCCCATACATGATTTCCATGAACTTCTCGTCGGCGTCCTGAAAGCGCTGATCCAGGAAGGAACTGGTCTTCCGCACCAGGTTCCAGATCATGTAGTTGTTGAGTAGGCTGCAGGCAGAGGGCATGAGCCAGGCCTCAAAACAGCCCAGGACGGGAAGAGCTGCTGCACTTCCGCAGATCGCCACCAGAGGGCTCTCAAATCCAGTCTTAGGAACTCGGGCTCCACTGTGCCCTGGCTTGGCCCAGGTATACCATAAACCCAGGGAATCCAACCTCTTGGCTGACCCCAATCCTTGATCCTCCACCACAGAAAAAACCTCGGTGCCTGACACAGTCATGTGCATCCCCAAGTGCAAGACGAGTGCCTGCTGTTTAGCTGCTTAGTGTCTGGATATGGCTGCCTGGAGCCTCACGCTGAGTGGGGTAAATAATTGTATTTATACTCAACAGAACACTACACCACCAAGAAAAACAAAGTCCTCAAGGGCTCGGGATGATATGTGGAAAGGGCAGATAATACTCCCAGTCACAGTGACGGATGAGTACCCACACCACACCTTTGTTTTTCGCATGTACATACATATACACGTACCAGAAGAGTAACAGTGGTGTTCAACATCTCTACAAGTCTCTAAAAACTTTAAAAGTACCATAAATATTAGTGCAAAATAAAAGTAACAAGTGCCATTCTCTAGGTCTCCCTCCTTCCACTTGAAACACTGCCTGCAGATTGTATCTTTGCACTCTCACAGGACTCCTAATTGGCGGGCGCTACTATGTTCCCCATTTTCCGGTTGAGGACCAGGAGCTTGAACACAGATAAGAAACTCGCCTTGGGGCTACCGAGCTGCCAGGGAGGGAGCTGGGACAGGCTGCATGGTGGCCAGGAGGTTTGCTGTCTGCTGAGTCCGTCCTCCCCCTGCCCCGCCATTCCCAGGGGGCCGCCCTACCATTTATCAGTGGTGTTGATGAGCGTGGAAACTTGCTCCAGGTACTCTTTGTCGTAGACCACGATGGGCTCGGACTCGTTGATCTCCACAGGGTAGAAGATGGTGTTGAGAAAAGGTAGCCAGTTGATGGCCGGTGCCAAAGTCTGCAAAGGAAGTGACAGCGTGACACCGGCTGATGGCACCTGGCAGCCCAGATCTCCAGAGTGTGCTCGGGGTGGCGCCATCTCCCCTCCCCTTGACAAATGAAGGCGCTGGGAGGCTGACAGGGTGTTGGGTGAAGCCTCCAACCTGGAGGCTGGCTGACTTTGGTCACAGATGCTGTGATGCAATTGCCTTTTAAAGATTCTTAAAATTGTTTAAGAAATTTTTCTTTATATGAGAAGCCAGGCCAGGGAGAGAGCTTCTTTCTATTGGTTCACATTCCACATACCCCGGAAAGCGGGGGGGTTAGGTCAAGCCATGGACGCACAGGGGTGGAGACTCCACTGACTCCCCCATGTGGGTGACAGGAACGGAAGCCCTGAGAGCGTCACCCTCAGAACAGAACTTGGCTGCACTGGGCCACCCGCCAGCTGCTCTCCTCCACCGGGCTTCTACGGCACCAACGACCCCCTCAGTGACGGCAGAGGCAGGGCTGGGCATCACACGCATGATCTGCGTGGGTCCACAGGGCTCACTGCTCAGAAAGGAGGTGGAGGCAAGTGAGCTGAGCGGCCACTTTCAGCGCTGCCGTGTGTGAAAAACAGAATTAAAAGGCAAATTTACTCTGGTGCACAAATTTTCTCTTTGAAAGATTTGTTTTTGTTTGGAAGGCAGACTTTGAGATTTTCCATTCCCCAAAATGCCTGCAGCACTCAGAGCTGGGCTCAGCCGAAGCCAGAGCCAGGAGCTTCGTCCAGGTTTCCCACACGGCTGCAGGGGTCTGAGCACCTTCCCAGGCGCACCGGCAGGGAGCTGGATGGGAATGGAGCCACCATAACGGCCTCTCACGACGATCATTTTTAAGAGCGCATTGCAGGACCATTCAAGCTACTCATCCTATGCTGCTATCCCTACTGTCCACTCAGACGCCCCTTCGCAGAAGTGAGACTCGGTGCAAGCGCCTGGTGCAGCAGTTCAGCTGCTGCTTAGGAGGTCGGCACCCCACACCCACACGGGAGGGCCGGACTCGAGCCACAGAAGGAGCAGTATGGGCCAATGCACTTACCTAAGGGGTATGGAAACACGTACAGGACCCTCAGTGGGCAGCAGTCACCCCCATCCCCACACGGGTGCTGATTAGAGCTCAGGTGACTTTCCTGAGGCCACCCAGTTAAGAGGTGACTGTGCAGTCTAGCCCCCAGGCTCGCTGACCTCTGTGGGTTTTAAGGGTGCCTGCCGAGGCTTGGGGAGCTGGGAGGCGGGAGGGCAGCCCCGCAGGAGGTGTGTCCTGGGAAGTGGCTAACAGTATCACACGCCGGTGGATACCAGTCCTGAGATAAGGAGATGCATGCTGAATCCTAGGATTCCCACATTTGCCACCTGTGTGGCTTCCATGAACTTAGAGACACATGTGCCTGCTCCATCTCCGTGCAGACAGTTGCTATGATTGCACACTCCTTGAGACGCAAACCCACTGGGACACGCTGATGAGCTCACAGCCACGCAGTATGGCTGGTCACCAACTAAGCAGTTTGAATGGGTTTGAAAAGCAGGCAAAGGCCAGGGTTGTGGCACAACAGCTTAAGCTGATGCGTGCAATGCTGACATTCAGCATCGTAGCACCAATCTGAGTCTTGCTTGCTCTACTGCCCATTCCGCTCCGTGCCAATGTGCCTGGGAAAGCACCCACATGGGAGATCCTGATGGCGTTCCTGGCTTCTGCCTGGCCCAGCCCTGGCTGCTGTGGCATTCTGGGGAGTGACTCTCTCTCTCTTATTGTGACTCTACTTTTCCAATAAGTCTATCTCTCTCTTTAAAGTGGATGAGCAGAGAAGCCTGCCTTCAGCCTTCCTCTCAGACGCAGAGAGGACAGAGGCTGGACTCACCCCAGGAAGGAATGGGCAGGCCCCGGAGAGGCAGCACAAGGCTGTGTGTTCCGTGGCATTGCTCACACCCCGTGGGAAGCTAATCTGGAACACTGCTGCTCTCCAGCAGGGCTAGCCTGGAACCCCACTGCAGCTCTGAGTCACCCAGAGTATGAGAGGTAAACCAAATTTCCAGCTACCGAGGAACAAGAACATTCTGTTTCCCTGGATGGGATGGAGCGACTTGCTGCGTGATATGAGCATAACCAAAGGACAACAATGATAACGATGGTAATACGTCATGCTCGGGTTGTGCAGAGCAGTTTACAAGATTAAACTTCACCTTTGGCCTCTTGAGGAAAAAAAAAAAAAATTCAAAGGCAGAGAGAGACTGAGCTCTCTCACTACTTCACTCCCCAAACGCCTGCAACAGACTAAGTTGGGTCAAGCCAAAGTCAAGGGCCCATAACTCAGTCCCAGTCTCCCTCACAGGTGGCAGGGACCCCGGTGTTACAGCCTCCCAGGTACACGTCAGGATGGAGCTGGAACCAGGCACCTGATCTGGGACATCGGCACCCCAAGCAGCAGACAGCCACCTCATGGCCTTATGCTAACCTCTCATCACCCACACGTGGGCCAGGCGGATTCCCGTCCAAGACACGAGGCTTCAGGGGCCCAGCACTTCTTCCAATGTTAGACCTAAATTGTGCTTATAATATCCACACACCATTTCTTCCAGGAGACATTCTGTAGTTTTCCATTGGTTCTAGAAGGAACCCAGGACTTGGGAGCCAAAGAGCAAAGCCCTCTTCGACCAGAAAGGAAGCCAAAGGCCAAAGGGGCACATTCCACAACTGTGCAAAAACTGTCCCCAACACGATGGGGAAAAGATGCCTGGGGGCAGAACATGGTGGCTGTGCTGGGCTGGGTGCTCACAGCTGCCATGCCTGTCTTGTTACACTTGGCACTGACACTGACAGCACAGCCACTGCAGGGGCTCTGGCACGGCTGAGAACTGGGCAACTGGAGCAAGCCAAATTATGCTCCTTCGACCTCCTGGCCTCAGTGTGGGAAAACAGCTCCAGATGGTGCCCAACACAGGCTGCTGATCTCCATGACAACCTGCTTGGCACCTTGGGGCAGCTGCACACACCCCAGGTGCAACACCGCATCAGCCTGGCTGCCCATCGCTACCTTAACCTTCCAGTGCTTCTAGCCACCCCAGACCCATAGCCCTGCTTCTTTCGACCAAACACTTAGCAATGTGAGGGGGGCTGTTTCCCACTAAACCAGGAATCAGAGCTGTCAGTTGGAGAACGAGAAGGCAGGGCCAGGAGCCTTCCGGAAGGAATGGACAGGCAGAACTCAGCTCGGCAGAGGAAGCATTTTAGTGATGCCCCTGCACATGAACGGCATCCTCTCCAGGGACAGCCAAGGTCATCAGACCCAGGAGACAGCAAGAAACGACCTGAGGAACTAGCATTGTGGCACAGTGCGTAATCCACTGTCTGCAATGCCCGCATCCCAAATGGGTGCCAGTTCATATCCCAGCAGTTCTCTTCCCAGTCCCAGCTGCCCCACTTCCAATCCAGCTCCCTTCTATTTGGCTGGGAAAAGCAGTGAAAGAAGGCCCAAGTGATGAGGCTCCTGCAGCTAAGTGGGATAGTTGGAATTAGTTCCTGGCCCCTGGCTGCAGCTGGGCGCAGCTCTAGTCATTGGCACACCTGGGGGAGTGAACTAGTGGAATGGAAGATCTCTCTCAATCTCTCCTTCTCTCTCTGGAACTCTGATTCTCAAGTACATTTTTAAAAAGCAGCTTTTCAAAAAAGAAGCAGATCCCGAGGACCAGGGATCTGCCCACCTTGCACACGGAAGCACCTGGTCTGTTTCCCAGCTCCGCTCCTGACTCCAGCCACCGGCTAAGCCATCCTGTGGGCAGGAGGTGATGGCTCAGGTAACTGAGCTGCTCCACCCGAGGGGGAGACTAGGCTGGAGTTACAGCTTCCGGCTTTGCAGCAGGCCCTGGCAGGCACCTGGGACCACATGAGCAGAAAGGAGCTCTCTCTTTGCCTCTCAAAATGAATAAATGAAATTGTAAGAAAAAGAGAAAGGAACCAAGATCAGCAGGACCTACACGCTGGTCCCTATGTGCCTCCCGGGGCCTAGGAGCAGGCCGCACAGCAGGCAGGGATGCCCTGGGACACCAGTTACAGAGGGTGTCACAGCTCAGACTCCCCATCACACTCCCAGAACACTGCCAGGGGACACCCCAGGGCTGTGACCAGTGCACCATGCCAGAGACTGGTGCCTAGCCTCCCTGCAACCTAGGGGCTTTTCTGGGCTTAAATCTGTTTTGTAAAGATGATGGCACTATCCACACCTCATGCCGGTCATGTGTTCGCTGTCGCCAGGGGCCAAGCACTTGGTGCTAGGAAAACTGGGAATGCCCTGTCCAGGTGAGCCAGTGCTGGCCTTGTTCCAGTGTCCCCAGGGAAGGGCTGCTACAGACAGCAGCCTGGCAAGGGCAAGCACTGAACTTAGAAGCTGGTCACTCATGAGCAGTGTGGCCTTGAGTAGTCCACTTTGCTTCTCTGAGCCTCAGTCTTTCCATCTGTGATATGGGGCTAACGACGATCACTCCTTGGCTATTTCCAGCATTTGATAAAGTGAGTATAAAACAGCTGGGGGCCCAACGAGTGCCCAGCCTGAAGCCCTGTGGCTGCCCCAGCCCCCAGAGCAGCTGGTGCCCAAGTTACCTGCAGCTCGGCTGCTGTCACCTTGTGGTAGATGAGCTCCTCATCTCGGCGCTTCTCCTGGGGGATGGTGATGTTGGCCAGGGCCGTCTCAAAGTCCAGGATCTGCTGCATCTGGGGCCGGATGGCGTCCTCGTCCCCCCCGCCCAGCAGCTTCCCCAGCTGCACCATGTAGTTCAGGTATGCGGTCAGCACCTGCGGAACCCAGCACCCCCGAGTTGTCAGTGGCTGCCCACTGGCCCAGGGCAGAGCAGGATGTGACAGGGCCACAGAGCCTTGTGCAGGGAGTCCCTGGGGCATCGTAAGAGGCTGGCCAGGCTGGGGCATACGAAGGCATGGAGCTTTGCAGCAGGTGGACCTGGATGTCACTCAGCCTCACTGCTTCCTGGCTGGTGACCCTGGGCAGGTCACACAGTGTCTCAGTCTTCTGCCCTCCCCCAAAGCCAAGGTAACACCAGCGACCGTTTGACAGCTGTGGTACATGAAGGTCACTGTAGGGTGAGAGACCAACCACTCACAGCACCATCCCCACCGGTCTCTGCAATCAGGATGACACTTGTAGCATGCCCGTTACATGATGCCTGGGGCATCCCTGCCTTGCTACCTCGGCCTGAGCTCTCTGTACACCTGTAATCTCAATCACCTGCGCTGGGGAGAGGTGCCAAGGGGGAGAAACACGTGGCTGGGGGCTAGGACTGGGGTCACTCACCTTCTCGTTTTCAGTCTTGTTCAGGTAATAGTCTCTGGAGGGCAAGCCCAGCCCAGACTGGTCCACCTGGAGAGAGGCAGGGGTCACAGGGGAATCCCCCGTGGTCCCGGGGACAGTGAGCCAACAGGCAGCAAGAAGCCAGCTGTGTTCTTCAGCTGGTAGCTGAAGTCACACATGGGCCCACCCAGGGACAGCACAGACATTGTGCTGTTTTTTCGGGTCCCTCTGATGGGCCTGACAGAGCCAGCCTCCACTTTAAACAGCCCCTACCCTTGGCGAGGCACCCCATCTCACCTACACGTCTCAAATGGCAAAGAGCCGCCTGCCAGCTACGTAACCTGGGCCAAGTTACTTAACACTTCTGATTCTTGGGATCGTCTTCTGAGAAATACAGGAGGTAACACCACCTGCTTCACCCCGGGCAGGTGGGAGGGGGCTCAGTTCCTAATAGCTCTGTCCTCTTAGAGCCGTTTGACCACACCTGGACCCCTGTGTTCGGCAGGTGTCATGATGATTGACAAGGGAACTGCAGCTCAGAGAGGGTGAGCCACCTGCCCAACCTCACACAGTGAGAGATAGGTTGGGAACTCTATAGTTCTGCAGCCTGGGATTCCCCTGGCCACTCGGATACTTAGTCTAGACGGGCTCAGCAGAGAGAGGTGAACTCGAAACTATTCTAAGCAAGGCCACGAAGGCCAGAGCCTGGAGGTGGGGTGGGGTGGCCAGCAGAAGGCTTCTGCTGTTGTACAAAACTGACATCACTCCTGCCACCCCTAACCCAGCTTGCCTACCAAAGTCACCTCTGGGGGGACTCCAGGAGCATCCTGGGCTCAGACACCCTGCCCAGACTGGGCTGTCCTCAGCCCCGTGCCTACTGAATTCTGAACGGGAAGAGGCCAGGCCCCTTCCTCTTCCCAGAGTCTCAGTCTAGCTCACCTGGATCACGTTGCTGTTGGAGTTCTTGGAATCGGCACTGACATAGACAGAGAAGAAGGGAGAAGTGCGGTAATGGGCGGTGACCACCTGCAGGGTATCTTGGAAGTTGTCCTTGGCCCAGGGCCCCGTGATGTTCCAGCCTCCGAGCTGCAGGGAGGAACAGCGGACGGAGAGGTGAGGAGGGGGCAAGGGCACCTGGATGCAAATGTGGCTCTGCAGTGCATCTGCTCTGTGACCCTAAAGCCGCCATCTACCTCTCTGAGCTTTGCGAGTAAAGGACAGGTATGCTCTTCACTGGGGGTTCTGATCCAGGAGCCAGGGAGACCCATGAATAGGACCAAGACTCCTCCGGGGATGCCTAAAGCCTAGGGACCCTGCACCCACATGAAACCCAGAAGTTCCTGGCTCCTGGCTTCAGATTAGCTCAGCTTCAGTCGTTCTGGCCACCTGAGGAGTAAACTGATGGACAGATCTTTCTGTCTCTCCTGCTCTGTAAATCTGCCTTTCCAATACAAATGAATAAAAAAATTTTTTTGTTTTTAAAAGACTTCCCCGGACACACAGGCTTTTGATGTGTGCCCCAGGCAGGCCAGCCAGAGAAAAGCAGGCATCATCTCCCAATATACTGAACCACAGGAAGGCAAATTAAAAAAAAAAAAAAATTAATCGAGCCAAGGACAAACAAGTACTCCACATTTCAAAAAGCATGATAAGCTAAGACTGATTGATTAAGCTAAGTTGATTTAAAAGATAAAGCATATTCTAGAGGAGCTCGCATTGAGGCGTATCAGGCTAATCCTCCATCTGAAACGCTGGCGTCCCACATCAGAGAACCAATTCAAGTCCCATATGCTTTGCTGCCAATCCAGTTTCCTGCCAACACACCTGAGAAAGCAGTGGAAGATGATCCAGGGGTGTGGGCACCTGCCACTGCCATGGGAGACCTGGATGGAGTTCCTGGCTTCAGCCTGGCCCAGCCCCAGCTGTCACGGTCACTGGGCAGTGAACTAGCGGCTGGACAAGCTCATCTCTCTTTCATTCCCCGTGTCACACTGCCTTTCCAACAAACACATATTTTAAACTATTCCTGGGCCTGGTAGCCTAGTGACTAAAGTCCTCGCCTTGTGTGTACCAGGATGCCACATGTGTGCTGGTTCCTGTCCCAGCTGCTCCATTTCCCATGCAGCTCCCTGCTTGTGGCCTGGGAAAGCAGTTGAAGATGGCCCAAGTCAAAGAAGCCTTGGGGCGCTGTACCTGTGTGGGAGATCCAGACAGGTCTCTGGCTCCTGCTTTTGGATTGGCTCAGCTCCAGCCGTTTCAGCCATTTGGGGAATGAACCACTGGATGGAAGATCTTTCTCTGTCTCTTGTTCTCTCTGTCTTTTCAATAAAAGTAAATAAATCTTAAAAAAGAAAAAGAAAAAGAAATAATCCTGATTCTCCCTAGCTAGGCACATGCTGAATGTGGGGCCTGTGTCTTGGGAAGGGACTAAGACAGCTCTCCTACGTCTACCAGCACTAAGCCTGCTACAATCAGAAATGCCCAGCCACCCTGTTTGCCCAGGCACCCTCCTCAGACCCCCATGGCTGGCAGGGAGGTGCCCAGGTGGCAGGACCTGTACACTTGCTCCAAGCCACATCTCTTCGTTGGTGTCTGCAGCACAAGCTCGTGCACACACAAACATGCCATCTGAACAGAGTGGCAGCACTGGGCACATCTGCCTCCACTATAAAGACAGCGCCCGTCCCACTGCCACACAGATGACAGATGTGAGCACGAACGTGTGCAGATGTCTTCACCCGCTCAGAGGCACACAAGCCTGTGTGAGCTACCCGCCACCTGTGTATGGTGCTTGTAGACGGGAGGAGGTCGGGCCCAGTGACACCCGAGGTGGGGCGCACGCCAGAGGGGCTGGCATACAGATAGGCAGGAGCAGGCGGGGGCTCACCCAGGGGCTCACCTTCTCAATCAGCTCCATCAAGGGCTTGGCCCGGAGTTCCTCGATCCTGGTTTCATTCATGCACGCACGGTAGTACACTTGGGCCTTCCTCTCGGCCTCACTCACACTGGCCGTGGAATTTTCTGGCAAGACAAGAGACAGCAGTTTTGCCCCCTGCAAAGGCCACTTGTTCTTCTCAGGGCCTTGGTGTCCTTGACTGTGAACAGAACTGACCTCTGCCTGTTGGGGTAGCCCTTCCCTGCCTGGGATCCACACACAATTGCTGCGGGGACAGAGGCTGGTCCCAGCTCAGATCTCGGAGCTTTCTTGTGACTGCACTGGTACTTCCCTTCCTGCTCTGAATGGCCCATTCCCACTTTTCCGTTCAGGTCTCCACCCTGTGTGGCTCCTTAGACCTCTCCAGGCACCTGGGGTCTCTGCTCCCCTCCTCGTGCTGAGCCATAGCACTCCCACCTTGCACAAGTGCGGGAGGGTCCCGTCCACAGCAGCTCAGGAGACTGCTCTCTGGCCTTTGGTCCACAAACACCTACTGTGCGCTGCACTCCTCAGCTCAGCCCAGATGTGCCTGCTTCCCAGCGCCCATCCTGTGGACCCTGCCTGCTCCTCACTGCCTCCGCCTCTTTCTCCACTTCCTGTTTCTCTAATCCTAAAATGTTTCTTCTGCTTTCCTTCAGACTCCCAAACCCATCTCCAAGGACAACTTTTCTTTTTCAGCCATTATATTTATTTTCATTTACTTGAGTGGCAGAGTGACAGAAATATCTTTCATCTGCAGGGTCACCCCCTAAAGGGATGCAGCAGCTGGGGCTGGGTCAGGTCAAAGCCAGGAGCCTGGAGCTCTACCGGGTCTCTGGGTCTCCTGTATGAGTGGCAAGGGGCGGAGCACTTGGGCCTTCACCACTGCCTCCCAGCACGTGCATGAGCCGGAAACTGGAACCTGAGAGCCAGGCACGCGGGCATCCCAGTGGGGGCGACTCAACCACTGAGTCAAATGCCTTCTTCACTCTCCAGGAAGATTCTTCTGCTGGAATCTTACCCTTCCATTAACTAAACGAATACTGGATACTTCTCTGTGCCACATACTATGCACAAAAAAATGTCACCCTTGTCGCCCCTTTCCTGAGGCTCCTGCACAGAACCTGGCTAAACCTACTCAACTACAAGGCTTCCCTTGGGCAGTGTCTTCCAGGGTGTCCCTCCTGGGGCAGGTATCTGGCTGAGTGTTTAAGGTACCTGAGTCTGACATTACAGTGCCAGACTTTGAGATCAATCCACAGCTCCTGGCTCCTAGCTTTGGCCCAGCCTGGCCACGGCAGACATGGGATGACTTCTCCTTCTCTCTCCCTGCCAGAGCAGCTGGACACTCTACTCTCGCTGTCCATCGCTCAAGCTTCAGAAGGGATGGCTGTTGTGGTACAGTGGGTTGGGCTCCCACTTGGGCCATCCGATACCGCACTGCAGGATCAGTTGGTTCTGGACTCTTCTACTTCTGATCTAACTCCCATGTATCCTGGGAGGCAGCAGTTGATGGCTCAAACGCTCGGCCCCTGCCATCCACTGAGGCCACTGGATGGAGTTCAGGGCTCCTTGTTTTCAACCTGGCTCAATGTTGGTTCTTGCAGGCTCCTGAGGGCAGAAGTAGGGAGAGCTGAGGCCACATATAGGAATGCTCCCCACCCGGTAGGGCTGTCTCCATGGCAGCACTTCCCAGCAGCTTCAAGTGGCTGTGGGACCCCCTCACTATTCCCCAGTCTCATAGGCCCCCATCAGGCTCCTGCCACGACCCTGAAACGCCACGGCCGGTATCATGGCAGGGAGGTGTTCTGTGCTCTGGCCACTGGGCAAGCCTGGGTTTCCCTCCCCTGGAGCCCAAGGTTAATGAGATAAGAGTCCTGAAGACAGGCGCTCCAGGAATAGCCTGGCTGCCTTTAACCACAGGGAGTTCCAGCTCAAGGCCACCTGGGCCCCCCCCTTTCACCACGCTGAGTGGTGGCCTGGAGGGCAGGAGCCTTCCTGCAAGTACAGCCTCCCGTCCTCTTGTTCTGAGGCTCCTGAGTTCAAACTTCCTTCCTCTGGCCCAGGGGATGCGGTGGGAGAGCAAGCTTTTCCAGTGTTTATGAAGTTGTACAGCTTGACAGCTGTGTGCTGGGTGTGAACAACAGACCAGGTGACCTGGACACCTGCCTACTTGCGGAAGGCTTGCTTACAGCCTGTTAGGGTCCTGAGACCACTCCCCTGCAAAACCTGTCATCTTGACCACAAAGGCGTCAGACAGTGGGGGTGGGTGGATGGTGTGAGGGGAAGTCCTTGAGGGTACAGGCTCCAAGCTGAGTTCAGTGTGGAGCTGGTGGAGGGGGGGTTGCTTACCCCACCCCCAATTCTATTTAGTCCTGCCTGGGTTCTTAGTAGCAGCTCCAGCAGGCAGAGCAGGCTCTTTGTGGCATGTGTGAACAGGGCCCAGCAGCCACTGTGAAGCAGGACACCATATCCAGAGGGTGAAAAGGGGAAGGGGCTGGGCCTGTCCCAGACGTGCATGGAAAGAAAATGGGGCAGGTGAGGGCAAGGACAGAAGTTGGCATTCATGTCCCCTCCTAACTACCTGAGGGAGGGGACTGGTTGCAAGGTAGAATCAGCTACCGTTTCCTTGTTAGGAAAATTACGATCTCCTTTAGGATTCCCTGTTCATGTTGACTTTCCAGAAGATTCCACAGGGCAAAGATTAAATCAATGGCCCCTACAGCAATCCCTGGCACTGAGTTTGGGGCATACTTTGGAGACAGTGGCCCCTATAAGGCCCTAATGGCATGTGAATCATTTGGCAGCCCTGAACTAGGCAGCAGGTATTTCCTTCCAGGAACCCCAAATTCCAGAAACTTCCTCAGTCACTTCCCCGAAGCTGCAGAGAGGAAAGACAACACACCATTATTTAATTGGCCTACTTTTTCCTCTGTGAGCCTTTACCAGAATGCCCTCTTCCATGTCACCCTGTTGGGAGGAAGTGACGCCTAGACGGGCAGAGCCAAGGCTGCCAGACAGGGAGCTTCAGGGCCTCCCCTTCCGTCTTCCCAGGGGTGTGGGTCCAACTCCACATCAGTGCAGGCCCGGCATTTGCCCTAGATAAAACCAAACACTCCCTTGAGACTCTTCCCAGGCCTCTGGAGCCCCCTGATTCGAGGACAGATTGGGGGGCAGGGGGACGGTGGCTGCTGATAAAGGAGGAGCTTGGGGCAAGACACCCTGAGAAAAGAGAAATGAGGCCTGGGGAGTGAAGGCATTTGCCATGAAGGCAGAGCCAGCAGGTGGCTGTAGCCTCCTTAGCCAGTGACCTACGGCCTCTGCACAGGGGTGCGGCCATGGGTGTGCCTCCTTAATGATCCCCCACATGAACAGGAGAGAGGCTGGGCCACTTGTCTGAGGTCACACAGGTGGCAGAGGCCAGGACTGGAGCCCCTGCTCAGCCTCCTGCTTTTTCTTGTAGGTCTGATGGGAACCAGAGGTGGGCCCACAGTGGTCCAGCCACTCCTGGGGAGTCCTTAAATACACGAATCACTCAAGCCACTTCCAAAGGGAAAGGCCCATTGTGGCTGTGAACACTGCCCAATATGAGGCTGTGTAGCTGTGAATCCGTGTGCAGAGGCCTTCCTCCAGCATGCAGTGGGCAGCTTTGGGGAAACTGAACTTGACAGTAAATATTGGGAGAACATCAAAACAAAAGTACGAGGATGGGTTAGGCTGCTGCTTGGGATTCTGACATCCCATGCTGGAGGGCCAGTTCAAGGCCCCTGTGCTCGGCTTCTGATCTAGCTCCCTGCTGACCACCTGGAAGGCAACAGAATATGCCCAAGTAGCTGGTTCCTGGCTATCTACATGGGAGACCTGAATGGAGAGCTAGATTCCTGGCTTTGGCTTGTCCTTGTCCTGGTTATCTGGGGAGTGAACCAAACAATGGAAGATCTTTTTCTGTCATTTTGCCTTTCAAATAAATGGAAATGAAAAAAAGTATGAGATGTTACAGACTAAATTGATCACTAAATCATAAACATGGATACGCATGGGATATTCTGTGTATCTCTCAGGGAGACTGGGCCAGCCCTGTGGTCCAGTGGCTTACTATCTGCGAGGCCAACATCAGATGTGAATATAGGTGCAGGTCCTAGCTGCTCTGCTTTGTAGCCAACTCCCTGCTAACGGGAAAGCAGTAGAGGATGAACAAAGAACTTGGGCCCCTGCACCCACATGGCAGACCCAGAGGAAGTTCCTGGCTCCTGGCTCCAGCCTGGCCCATCCCTGGCTCTTGTGGCCTTTTGGGAGTGAACCAGCAGATGGAAGATCCTCCTGCCCCCTCCATCTCTTCCTCTCCTTTTTCCGTGGCTCTGCTTTCCAAACAATTAACTATCTCCTTTTTAAAAAAAGATGTACTTATTTTTATTGGAAAGTCAGACATACAGAGAAGAGGAGAGACAGAGAGGAAGATCTTCCATCCAATGATTCACTCCCCAGGTGGCCGCAATGGCTGGAGCTGAGCCAATCTGAAGCCAGGAGCCTGGAACCTCTTCCAGGTCTCCCCTGCGGATACAGGGTCCTAAAAATTCAGGCCTTCCTCAATTGTTTTCCCAGGCCACAAGCAGGCAGCTGGATGGGAAGCGGGTCCACTGGAATCAGAACTGGCGTCCATATGGGATCCTGGCATATGCAAGGTGAGGACTTTAGCCGCTAGGCCATTGCACTGGGCTCAAAAAGTGTATCTTCAAAAAGTTTTTTAAAAAACCCTCCACACATACAAAGAAGGGAGACTGCTCACAATCTCCAGTCTGTTGCTGGAATTGTTACAATAAACAGGCATTACTTTGCCATTTGCAGGTTTTCTTCTTAGAGAATAGAGTGCAATGAACAGCACAGGCACATGCTGTAGGGGACAGCTGCAGCCGCAGAGGTCACCAGGCTGCCAGCAAGTTGGGATGAGTCTTGATGGGTTTGGAGAGGCCACTCTTGATGGGGTAACAAGCCCGACAGCCACCTGGCTGCATGTTGGTGGCACAGCATGGGCAGAAGATACCAGTGTCTCTTGCAGCTGAGTTCACCCTTTCTGCAGCCAGAGGAGCAGGTGGCAAGCACCATGCCCTGATGCCACCTGGCCTGTCTTAGCACACCCATCACACACATGCCTGAGGTCCCTTGGCAAGTAGCTGTCACAGCTGTCCTGCCTTCCAGGACATCGGTAGGGAGCCAACTGAGCCAAGCCTTTTCCTCTGGAGAGAAGCCCACCCCAGGCCAGCTGGAATCAATCTGGGTACCCCTTGTCTGTTCCAGGGCCCACTCACTTTGGCTTTCTTCAGCAGCCTGCTGGCTACCCCTCTGTGCAGGGGAAGCTGGACCTAGCTCAGCCATAAGTCCAGGATTGCACTGGCCCACACACCTGCCACCTGTTCCTCAGGAATTTCCAGGTTTCAAGGCCTACCTATGAGGGGCCACTTCCAGACTGTGATCCATGAGTGAGCAGGCCAGAAGGGATCCCAGAAGGGACCCTAGGGAAGTGCCTATTCGGCATGACCTGGGGAACCCCAGCTGCTCAGCTCATCCTCAGGCCTGGAGAGCTTGGCCCAGCAGCCACAGGGGCAACCATCCTTCCAGGCCAATCTCCTCCCACGCTGCAGTGTCCACAGTGACTGGAATTAGATGAGGGAAAAAAAGAAGGCAGGTTTTGGGGCCCCAGAGCTCTGGGTGTGGATCCCAACTCACCACTTCTGGGAAACAGATTTCCTTTGTGTTTATTGGTCTTATCTGTAGAATAGACACACAGAGACTCTTCTTGGGTGTGCTCTGAACATGAAACAAATAATTAAAGAGCCCACATGTCACAGCTATGCCCCGAGCTGCCTCCTCCGATGACTGAGCCTATGGTACTGTTGCTATGAGAAACGGAATAGGCAGTCATAACTCCTTCTCCTTGGCCACTTAGTTAACCCTTGGCAGTCATCTCCTAAGGATCAGAGGCAGCTCAGCTTTTTAGGTGAAGCATTGAGCTGAGGGTCTGGTGGCCTCACTGTGGCCACAGGTATCGGTAGGGAGAAGGTCAGGCTGGAACTCACCTACTACCTCCAGCAAGGACAGCTACACCCCGCCGAGTCCTCACAGGTGCCAGCTTTGTGCCAAACACTCCAAACCTGTGAGTCAGCACGCACAGCACTTCCTGGCTTCCCTAGGCCCATCTCATAGACACTGTAACTAAAAGTAGCCCAGCAAGCATGCCAAAGCAGGTGGCTCCTGCCACTAGCAGACCTTGACCCTGGGGGTCGGGGTTAGAGTGGACCCAGTTTAGTGCAGTTCCCCACATGCTTGACCCTCAAGTGACATAGGAGCGGAGGGTCACCTCAACCTGGGGGCAGGGCAGCAGGGTTGCTCTCCTCAGAAAGAAGATGACATGGGATGCATGACCAGGAGTTGGGCTGTGCCGGCTCAGCCAGCACCGGCTCATCATAAGGACCTCTTTGTCCCTCCGTTTCCTGTGTTGCCACTGCTCTAAGCGAACAGGGTGTACCAAGTCACACTGGATTGGGCAGGTGGCACCGATCAAATGTCTCTGTACACCATGAAGTGCTGTGCCCAGGACCAGTGAGAGCAACAGCCACAGCGGTCAGCCCTAAGCGAAACCTTCAGATTTGCATTCTCACTCAGTCCTCCTAACTCAGAGGAGGTTCAGTCCCCATTGTATTAACAGGAAGACAATCCCAGGGAGGTGACATCCCTGATCCACAATGCCCCAGTAATGGCAGAGTCGGGCTCCAAAGCAGGCTTGGGTCCCTGGAGGCAGGGGGCTGCCCATTTCACTACACTTCCTGCATGGTTCCCTCACTTGGCAGGGTCTTCAGGATCTGGGGGAGGGGAACCCTCTAGGTTCTACTCTTGTTGCCCCCAAAGCCTCCAGTTCTGGGACAAGAGGCTGTAGCCCTGTTCAGAGGCGGTCTGGTTAGCACCAGGCAAGCAGGGAGGTGTTTCAGACTAGGCTGGCCCTCTTGAATGTGAAGTTCCTTCAACTCCAGATTCCACCATGACTGTGCCGCCTGGGCCAAAATGCACAAACGCCCAGGGCCGCCACCCAATGGGAACCGTGCCTCCCACGAGCTCTAAGCATTAGCAAGCAAGTGCCCTCTGGGCTCTGCCAAAGCCTGGCATGTGGTGCTGGCCACTGGTTGTGGTGTTGCTGCTGCTGCTGCTGCTGCTGCTCGCCCTTGACCTTGCACAGCACAAAGGTTCCCTTCATCCAGAGTGTTTGTTCCCTTTTCATCTAAGACACACTGGTCTGCAGTCTGTAACTGTCATAGCAACAGCATTTCTTAGAAGCTCTTCTTTTGAGATTTGTCTTCTGTTAACTCCTTCTACTTTACCTTCTTTTGATATAGCAATAAATATTTGTCAGCCCTAAGTTCCATTCTTGAGTTGGCTGAGGTTTGGTGATCAGGTGTCTCCCAAGCATTCAGGGTTCCAGGACGGGCAGGGACAGCAGGACAGGGAGAGGGCCTGGGTTCCAGGTGCCGTGGGGACAGCCTAGGGCTGTGATGCACCCCAGACAGAAGGGAACTTAGCGGACATTACTCAGAATCTGCTGTAATCAAGACAGGTGGGATTCCAACCTGTGTACAAGGCTATCAACTCCTAAGGTCAACCAGATGGGCTGAGGTACAGCAAGCTGCGAAGACCAGAAGGCACGTCTGATGGTTTCCACCTAGGACAGGGTACCAAAAGCTCAAGGGAGAGAGTCCTGCCGACTCCGAGTGACTCTCTGACAGGCTATGGCCCCAACTGTCACGGGAGCATGACCTTGAAGCCTGATTCACTGTGTGTAGCCTTCAGTCTTTTGGCCCACACTTTCAGCAGGCAAAAGCTGAGCTGCAGCTTAAAGCTGCAGAAATAACAGCCCTGACTTTACTCTCTGCACACCCACCCTGTGCCACACACACCATGCTACTGCTCAAACATACATTCTTCAGTGCTCAAACTCTGCAGACTAAGTGTGATCAGGCCCATTGTGTAGATAAATAAACTGAGGCTCTGAGATAAGTCTCCTCTTACGATTGTACAGTTAGTGAAGAGACATTTGTTTAAACTCAGTCTCATGGACTCCAGAATCCATGGTCCTCCCACTCTGCCACTCTTTTTCCACCAAGGCATGGCAAGCGCCCAATGAGGCACATTCCTTGGTGTCTGAACCAGGTATTTACCCAGCAGGTGCTTGATGATGGCTTGGTTGTGTTCCCAGAGGTTGCTGAAGGTCCCCCAGCGAGAGTGGCCATCGGGCACAGGGTTGGCCTTGATCCAGCCACCACAAGCATAGCTGAAGAAGTCCTGGCACGGGTCCACCGTGGGGTCCATGGAGCTCAGGATGGAACTGGTCACCGAGACACAGGCCTCACTCAAGCACACCGGAGGGCTTCCTGGAGAGGGTCATGGAGAAAAGGCCAATGAAGGGGGGCACAGAGGAAGCTGCAGGAGGGCAGTGGAGGTGGTCTGGGGCCCAGCAGGGGACAAGCTCTGTCCTGGCTCTGAGCACTGAAATTTGGACCTGGACGGCCATGGGACTCCTGTGAGAATGACTTGAGTGGGTTTGTGCTCTCACAGTTTGTAAAATCAGTCTGCTTAGCTGCCTAAAAGCTTTTCCAGGGATTAAAAAGGACCCAGAATCTTGTTGCTTTACTCATTCCCTCCTTCTATAATTTTCACCAGCATTTTCTATTCCCTGAAGCTCAACAAATGTATTTAGTCATTCATGCATTCATTTATCCAACAAAATCATGACCAAGTTTCTTCCAGGTTCTCTGTTGAGTGGGGTGGTGTGTGTGTGTGTCTCTGTGTGTGTACACGCATATGTGGCATTTAAAAGGCAACACTTTTTTTTTCCTTTAGAGCTAATAATTTTGTTGGGGGACATGAACAGTATCAAAGAAAAATCTAAAACCACGGCAGGAGAAGCCCACCATCCACTCCAGGAAACAAACCACAGCTTTGCTGCATCAAGCGTGCGGTGTGGGGGCTGTGAAGAGCACACAGGAAGGAGAAGAGACGAGCCAAAATGGGAAGGGACCCACAGTGATCACTCTTGCACCCAAAGCCGAAGGGTTACCACACTGGATCCCTGGGTGGGTAGAAAACCCTAAACCACCCTAGAAAACCCGTCAGCTGGCAGCCAGAGCACCCACACAGTGGGGCAGCTCCACAGAGGCCCACGCCAAGGCAGTAGAACCAGGCCAACAGTGCAGGCCAGAAGAACCCAGCCCAGCCTGATGATCATTTGGTGACAAGGGTTTTGATGGGGTGACAGACCACAGGCACGACACACACACATACTTGTGGCCTCCTTCACCCCTCATGCCTGGCAGCAGGTATAGGCATGACACCAAGTGCCAAGATGAGGAACAGGCTCTGAATGCCTGGAGCAGGGTCATCAGCTCACATGAAAGCTGAGGGCCAGCCTGGGCCCCTTGCCTGTCACAGCAGGAGAGAATAGGGCAGCCTTGAGGTCCAGGCTCAAAGCCTTGCTCTCTGCTTCTGAGTCTGAGGCCCTGGGTAAGTGACCTCATCTCAGGACTGCTTTCATAGTGGTGACAGAATGTTCTCAAAGGCAGAAACGGGGCTCAGCCTCCTCCCTCTAAAGGTCTGATGGTTCAGTCTATCTTGGGAGAGCAAAACACATGGCTGGCAGGGACAGCCTCAGCCTCTCCGGGAGCACAGTGCCAGCTGGGCAGCTCACCAGAGGCCTTAGTAACAGTTGATGACAGACAAAAGTTAGTTTAGCTCACCAAGGGTTCAGAGGAGCCGTGCGACAGAAAACCAAGGTGGGGCCTGGTGCGATAGCGTAGCAGTTTTTTAAGGTCCTCGCCTTGAACGCACCGGGATCCCATGTGGGCACCGGTTCTAATCCCAGCAGCTCCACTTCCCATCTAGCTCCCTGCTTGTGGCCTGGGAAAGCAGTCAAGGACAGCCCAAAGCCTTGAGATCCTGCACCCACATGGGAGACCTGGAGGAAGTTCCTGGCTCCTGGCTTTGGATCGGCACAGCGCCGGCCATTGTGGTCACTTGGGGAGTGAATCATCGGATAGAAGATCTTCCTCTCTGTCTCTCCTCCTCTCCGTATATCTGCCTTTCCAATAAAAATAAATAAATCTTAAAAAAAAAACCAAGGTGACTCTACGTTGGGATCATTATTCAGCTGCAATAAAACCACTAAACCATGGCAGGTGTTGTGGTACGAGGAGGCCTGCATTCCATATTACGCTAGACTGAGCCCCAGCAACTCCGCTTCTGATCCAGCATCCTGCTGAAGAGCCTGGGAAGGCCCAACTACGTGTGATGTTGCTGCCGGCTGGGAAGCCCTGCACGGAGCTGCTGGCTTCAGCTGGTCCTATCCCTACCTGCTGTGGGTGTCTGAGGAATGAAACAGCAGACAGAAAAGATCTCTGTACTTCCCCCTCTGTCATTCAAATACATTTCAAAACTTCAAAAAAAAAATTATTGAGTTACTGTATATAAAAACAGAGAGATCTTGGAATTGAGTACTCAATCTAGGTCTCTCATGTGGGGGGCAAAAACCCAATCACTCAGTCACCACTGCTACTGTCGGGGTCTGCTTTACCGGGGGAGATGGTGCTGCAGTCGGGCATCACACCCAGGCACTCTGCTGGGAGATGCAGCGGCCTTAACCAAATCTTCACTGCCAGGTTAAACAGCCACAATCAGATCATCTGAACTGAAGCTGAGTTAGCAGGAGGCAAGAGAGTGGTTACAGAATAAGACTGGTCAGCTCCTGAACCGCTGGGGAAGCAGGCACACACAGTCCCGCACAGACACACGCACAGGGAAAGGTGCTCCCGGCTCAGTCCTCCGTTCCACTCCCCTGTGCTTTCCACTGTTCAATCCCCATTTGCCTATGGGCACCCCCCTGGCAGGCAGGCAAGCAGGCACCAGGCTTAACATATGGTTAAGATTAATTAATTTAATCTCCATCAAGCACCTGCTGGGCCAGGCAAGTTTGGTAAAACATCAATAAACCATTAAACAGTCAGTTAAATAATGAAGCAATTATTTCGTAAGCACCACCTAGATGCCTGGCCCAGGGCCTGACGCAGAGGAAGCACTCATTAAATGTCCCTGGAATGTGTGAGTGGTTATATGCCAACACAGGGGGATACTACAATAACTCAGACCATGAAGCTCCGCCCAGCTCAGACTGGCATAACCAACCTCACAGGCCAGTGACTTCTCAGTGGCAAAGGCTCAACTCCATTTGGACCTTCAGATCCCATCATGGTTCCCTCCCCTAGGCTGCGTGACAAAGTCAGTGGGTGGGACTCCAGAGGTTGCTCAGTGAGCGAGACTGCCAGGCAACGGTGAGACCCAGCACTGGCAAGATGCCCTACTTTGTCTTGAATGGGGAGCTGCCCTTTCCAGGTCCCCAGGGCCTGGACTCTGCCGCTCAGTGAGGCTCACTGCTCAGTCAGACCCCTCCCTCCTGAAGTAGACCCTTTCAACACAGAAGGCCAGACTGCCGAGTACACTTTCACAGACTTATGGACTGTGAAAGGACAGGTTTTCTGGGGCACTGATCTGCTATGGGGAGACTACAAGGTGAGGCAGAGTCCCGTGGAACCCAGCTGCCCCCGCCCTGTCCCACTGGCCATGTAACCTTGGCTCCTCCATCTACATGTATCAGTTTTCTGATGCAGAAAAGGGGGCCCAAAGGGGATACACTTTGCAGGGCTGCTACAAAGAGATGTGATCACCCCTGTAAAGACACCTGCCTGGTACACTGAAGCCATGCTGCTTTTATCGGAAACAGGATGGCAGCCGGTATCAGCCTGAACATCCATTCAGCCTACCTCCCAGCACTGCAAAGAACAGGTCAAGGTAGAAGAGGTGCTACAAGGCACCCTCAGCACCACCACCGAATTGGGCATGGTGTTCCCATGGACTCAGGCTCTGGGAAATTGAGTGACTTGTCCAAAGTCACACACAGCTAAGCTGCTGGGTCAAAATATGGAATTGTCTGTGACTCCAAAACCTTTATACCATGGGGACCCTCTGTCACCCAGATCTTAGTGTCTCAGCACTCCAAGCCCTTTGGACCTCACTCTTCCCTTGATCCAGGAGACTAGTGCCAACTAGGGCAGGGGAGCCCTGGCAGACACAGCCAAAATCAAGCTCACAGCATGGAGGTACCTACTTGTCCGGTACTGGATACCCAGCGCTGCTAGGCACGCCACCAGTCCTGCCGCCAATAATGCCACCAGTACCACCAGCCGCTTCTCCACCTGGGTCCGTGCAGTCCAGCACCGCAGGCTGCTCCGGGGGCCATGGAAGTTCACCTGCAGGGAACGGGGCAGAAGGGGTGGGGAGGCTGTGAGCTCGGGGCGCAACCTTCCCAGGAGGAAGGGGCTCCGTTGTAGGCCCAGGCCCCGGGGAGGCATCAGGACTGCCCTCGGGCCTCCAGGGTAGTCCGGTTCTCATAAAATCAGTCCTAATTCAAGGAAGGAACCACCACCCTGCTCAGCAGCCCAGACTTACTCCCACCCATCGGGGAGGCGGGCAGTCCAACCGGCTGGCTTGTGTTTTTGTGTCACCCGATATGGGTAAGAGGAAAGAAACTAAAGCTTTTCCCGGTTTCTCCTGTAAGGAGTTCAAAAAAAGAACAGGATGTTTGGACTCAAAGGCATGCAGTGAGCAGCCAGCTGGGCTCTCCTGACAGCCCCACACCCACAGGGCCAGGGACAAGGGTGTCATAGCACAGCTCACCCTGCCCAGAAGCGAGGGACACCTGCTCAAGAAACCCTCACCATCCCATGGGAGCTGCCTTCTTGTTTCACTTTGCAAATAAGGAAACTGAGGCCTGGTGGTAAGACTCTCCCCTTCTGACATGTAGTAAATGGGGAATGCTGGGTTTGGACCCCAGTCTGGGACTCCAGAGCCCATTCGCGAGCCAGAGACTGGAGGGGGTAGCTCCATTCAGCAGATCCTCAAAGGGAGGAAAAATGTCTCCAGCCTCAGTCTAGCTCAACAGGAAGGGAGGCACAATGAGAGGAAATAGCGGGTGTGTCAGGGCCCTGGTGGTTCGAGGAGGCACACGCTAGCCAACAAGCAGTCAGAACCCCCAGCTCGGGCCCTCACATCCAAGACCAGCTCAGAAGCTCCTCTGCTCCAAGAGGTGCTTCCTACAAAGGGCAAGGCCACAAGATGGGAAAGATCTCTGAAGGTATGATCCAATGACCCTGATGCTGCATACTTTGCCCCAACTTAGGTGGAAAACACACACAAGGGAAGAGAGACTCCTTTGCTTTGAGTTGTTCACAGTGCAGCAGGGAAGCAGATAAACAAACCCTCTGGGGTGTGCAGGGATTCAGTCAGGGAAGGCTTCCTGGAGGGGGCAATGCCTGGGCTGGAACCTTAAGAACAAGCAAGAGCTGATCGAAGAGGGGGTGAGAGGCCCAAGGCTTAGTTCCTAAGAGGTACTGGGAAATTAAAAAGAAAACTTGCATTTCCTCCCGAGGACTGCAGAGGTGTGATTTGACTTGCTCTTCGGGCAGGACACAGTGGAGGGCACAAGGCTTGGCAAGGGTGGGTATGGGGGCAGACAGAGTCCTAAGGAAGTCATTCCAGCTTGCTGGGGAGTGGGGAGCCACTAGGGAACACGAGGAGTCCCAGATGTGACCTGTTCGTACCACCAATGGTCAAGGGGTGGCTACCACGGGAGCCAGCCAGAGCCCCAAGCAAGTCCCACATGGGCACAGGGGGCGTCCATCATGGGTCACCTTAAGGAAGGGCATCATGAGGTGTGGCCATTGCTGTATACTTTCTGGGAATTGCTGCACCAGAGAAAGTAGAACATGAAGACTTTGGGGAGGAAAATGTGTTTGAAAAATGTAAAAAGGACCCCAAGGCTTGGTGACACTTCCAAGGAAGTGCAGGAAACCAGGCCCCAAAGCTGCACAGGGTCAGGTCACAAGAAGGACACAGCCTTCTGGAGGAAGCCTTGTTTCATGTGAGAAGTGAGGGCTCTGGCTACGTACTCTGACTGGCTGAAACTTCAGGTTAGAAGGATGGGTGCAGAAACAGCCATCCTGCATACTGCTAACAGGTGCACCGGGGGTTTCACACTGTGCTTTCTAAGATGGCATGGCAATTATTCTCACACCACTTGCCTCAGGCACACAGGGACCCCAGGACCTGAAGTGGCTCACCTGGAGACACGACACACATGCACCCTGCCTGGCTATGATTCTGTCCCTGGACTTGTCCCAGCCTTCCTCCTCCTTGAGGCCAACCAAGCACCCCACGGTCACAGCTCAACTGCAGGAATCAAGAGGGCAGCAGGACCTCTGTTGAAGAGGGGTCTTGGGTGTGGGTGGGTACCAGTGGTTAAGAAGTCACTTGGAATGCCCACACCCCAAACTGGAGGGCCCAAGTTCAAATCCAGGCTGCACCTCCTGCGGATGTGCACCCTGGAAGGTAGCAGGTAACGGCTGAGGTACTTAGTCCCTGCCACCCATTGTGGGGGACCTCGAGTGAGTGCCAGCTCCTGGCTGTAGCTTGGCTCAACCCTGGCTGCTGTGGCCATACTGGGGGAGTGAAGCAGTATATGAAAGATCTCTCTGTGTCTTTCTTTCTCTATCTCTGAAATACACACTAAATTTATTTCTACCTTTTTATTTGAAAAGCAGAGATACAGAGAGAGAGCTCAAAACGCAGGTTCACTCTCCAAATGGCTGCAACAGCCACAGCTGGGAGCCAGAAACTTTCTCCATGTCTCCACCTGGACGCAGGAGCCCAAGGACCTGGGCCATGTTTGCTGCTTTCTGAAGCCACCAGCAGGGAGCTGGATCATAAGTGCAACTGGCAGGCACCCAGATGGGACACTGGCACCTCAGGCTGAGGCTCAGCATGCTATGCCACAGTGACAGCCCCAATCAATAAATATTAAAGGGGTACACCTGAAGAGGATGTTTGGCCTAGTGGTTAAGATGCTCACATCCCATTCTGTAGTATCCAGGCTGGACTTCCAGATTTCTCTTAAGTTTTATTTATTTATTTACTTGAAAGTCAAGAGTCACACAGAGAAGCAGAGAGATCTTTCATTCACTGGCTCGCTGACCAGATGGCTGCTGGGCCAGGACAAAGCCAGGAGACAGGAGCTTCATCTGGGTCTTCGACTCAACTGGCAGGAGCTCAAGAACTTCTGCTCCTTCTGCTTTCCCAGGCCACTAGCAGGGATCTGGATGGGAAACAGAATATCCATGACACAAGCTGGTGCTCTTGTGGGCTGCCGGCATCACAGGCAGCATCTTAACCTGCTCTGCCACACAGTGGCGACCTCAGAATCCCAGCTTTGGCTCCTGACTCCAGCTTCTTACCAAGACCCCAAGAGACAGAGGTGAGGGCTCAAGTAGCTGGGCTTCTGAAAGATCCGGATTGGGTTCCGGCTGCTGGCTTTGGCCCGAACAGTCCAAGCCACTGTGGCTATCTGCAGAGTAAACCAGTGAATGGAAGTGTGCTCATGAGCTTGTGCTTTCCATAGATTTTAACAGAGAACCCCTGACTGGCACTGGGGAGCAGGAACACCTCGCTTTATTTGGATAGAGCAAGGACAGGTTGTAGGGAATAAGGAGACAGCAGGAGCAAGAAGCAAACATGTCTGGGGAGGTAAAGAGAGAGAAGATGGAGGTACCCCAGAGGCTGGGAGGTATCAGGCAATGGCAGTTAAAGACTGGCATTCTTGCCAGCACCTACACTCATAGCACTCCTAAGTGTGAGACCAAGGATTCACTCTAAGGACACAGAGGAGTGGAGGTTCAGGGTGGCAGGGGCCAGAGTGGGAAGAGCTGGGACAATGCCTCTCTCCAGGCCTAGCTGCCTTTTGCCACGGCGGCTGGCTGCTCCCACCCCCATCCTGAGGAGGGCTAAGTTGAGCTGAGCCTCATTTTCCAGTGTCAAGCAAAGTACTGAATCTAACCAGATGGTGCTCACTGCAAAATTAAATTAGAACTCAGCCAAAATTAAATTTAAAATGCATACTTCCAGGCCAGAGAGGCAAACAGAATTTGGAAAAGGGATTTTTAACTTCCATCACGTTTTCTGCTTGACAGGCTGAGGGCCTTGTGGTTTCTGGACAAACCATGTTTCCAAGAAGGGATCCAGAGGTGTCACCTGGGGCAGGAGGTGTCACCTGGAAGCTCTGGGCCAGGCCCAGGAGGCACCTCCCGGAGAGGACGGCCAGTCCAGGGCTGCCAGTCAGTGCCCTGCCATGCTGCCAATGGCCTGGTCTCAGCCCAGGCTCTTCTCTGCGTCATCACACCTGCTCTCCCTCCTTCTTGAGGAGCTAGAGAAGATCCCATGAGATGAGGTCACAGCAAGGCGAGACAGGAATGGCTTCTCACTTCCCTTCTGGAAGTGAGGCCATGTCAGTCAGCGGAAGCCACTTTGCAGAATGCTGGAGGGAAAGCAGCCCAGTCCATCAGCCAAGCAGCGGAGCTGATGTTTGCAAGATGGAGCTGAGAGGTACTGCAGCAGCCTGGCTCATGGTGCGCTCAACGTCCCATCTAGGTAGAGAATGTCAGACACAGAGCCATGGGTGCCCACCACAGAGAACAGAGAAAGAGGGAGTTAGAGAGAGGGCAAGCAGGAGAGAGAAAGGGAGGAAAGAGGGGATGGAGGAAGGGAGAGGACAGAGTTGAATTCTCAAACTCATGAGTTCCCAGGGTTTCCACAGCTAAGGAAACAAAGCCCTAATCAGGGATAAATATTCAGTTACAGAAGTGAGTGCCCGGCTCACCCAGGCTTAGAGCAAGAACAAGTTCTGCAGGTGAAGATGGGGTACTGCCATCTGGGCCCAGGATTTTAGTCAGCAGCGCTGGGCGGGTAAGACCTGGGTTTTCAGAGGTGCGACTGGGATAGGAGGTTCTGTCTGCTGAGCCCTTGCCAGCTCCACAGCAGCCAGCACTGCACGGAGCAGCCAACAGGAGTCATCTGGCCAAGGGCCTGATGAGAAGGCCAGCCGTGCTGTGGGCTGGCAGGGAATCTACTGGAGCAGGTGGACCGTGACAGCCCTGCCCAGTCCAGTGAGGCTCCTGCCTCTCTGAGGTGTCACAGTTTGGTGAAGCTTCTTCACATGAAATAAACTTTCAGGGCAGACCACGGGGGTCAGCCCAGAGCAGAACTCTGGTATCCTCTGCCAGGGGCCTCAAATGCCACCTGTTCTGTGCTCCACACCTGACTTTCTGCAGGTTCCAGGTAACAGATTCAAGTATTACCTACTGACACAGAGGGGATGTCACACATCTTAACAGACATCAATGCCTAGAGATAGGAGGTAGAGGTTTCTACCTGGGTCCCAGGGCAAAGGTCAGATGTGGCTGGGCAGCCCCTGGGCTGCAGTCTGCTTGGCTACCACACGAGCCCATCTCAGATTCTAGAACCGCAGGGCCAAGAGTCTGAGGCTCCAATAGCTGAGTGGAGTTGCCAACATCTCTTGGGAAGCACAGAAGACTTTTACAGATTCTTTATTTAAAATTTTGGATATAATTATTTGGGAGACAAATACAGCTCCCACCCACTGGCTCACCGGGGTGAAGCTGAGAGCTGGGAACTCAATCCAGGCCTCCCACGTGGAGGGCAGAAACCCAAGGATCTGAGCCTTCCCTGCTGCCCCCCAGAGGCTGCACTGGCAGAAGGCACTCCCACATGGGGTGTGGGCATTTTCAACCACTAGGTTGTTCCAAGATGTCTATTCCAAGACATCTCAATGAATTACTGAGTGCAACTTGTGCTGGGGTCAGTCTCCAAAGACTGCGCATTATGGGGGGGGGGGGGGGGAAATGAGAAAACCACTACTAATATCTCAGCTCTCAGGTGCTTGGGCCCTGCCACCCACACTGGAGGCCTGCATGGAGTTCTTGGCCAGGAAATTTGAGGAGTGAATCAGAACATGGAAAATCCCTGTTTCTCTCTCTCTGTTACTCTCTCTTTCAAACAAGTAAATAAATAAATATGTATATTTTCTTAAATTTCAGGTTTCCTTTCTATACTAAAATTTTTAAAAGGGGTAAGTTGGAAGGGTTCTGGCAGACAGCTGGGGCTCCCTGTTCCCCAGGTTAGGGTGCAGGTGTAACCTGGGCTATTTCCTTGCAAGCCTCTGAAATGGGGCAGGAAGGCAGAGGTTCCTGAGGGAAAGCTTAATCTGCATGCATTGAAGACATCACTAAGATGTTTGTGCACTGGGGTGGGTATCTGGTATAGTGGGCAAGACCCACTTTGGATTCCCACATCTCACGCCGGAGTTCGGGTTCAAGTCTGGCTGTGCCTCCTGTCTAGCTTCCTCTGAATGCACACCACGGCAGGCAGCAGGTGATGCCTCAAGAACTTGAATCCCTGTTCAATCATGTGAGAGACCCAGAAGAAGCTCCTGGCTTCAGCCTGGCCCAGCTCTGGTCCCTGCAGGAATGAGCCACAGATACAAGACATCTCTCCCCCCAAGGCTGACCTTCACGTAAAAATGAAAAAATCTTTAAAAAATAATAAAATAAAAACTGTATTATGTAACATGGTATCTGTGAAGTCAGATTAACCATATTTCAAAATAAAATATATTGTCCTGGGGCTGGCCACCATGGTATTACAGGTAAAAAGCACTGTCTAGGATGCAGGCATCTCATATTGGTGCCCATTTGAAGTCCTAGCTACTTCACTTCCAATCAAGCTCCCTGCTAATGCTTCTGGAAATGCAGCAGAAGATGGTCCAAGTACTTGGACCCCTGCACCCATAGGAGACACCTGGGAGAAGTCCCTGACTCCTCGCTTACATCTGGCCCAGCCTTGTGGCAGCCATTTGGGAAGTAAATCAGCAGATGGAAGATTTCTCTGTCTTCCCCAATCTCTCTGTGACTTTGCCTTTCAAATAAACAGATCTTATTTTAAAAACCTAAAACAGTTCTTGTAAAAACAAGACTGAAGAGCTAGAAGCTGTTAAAGCGGTGGAATTACTGCTTCCTTTTTAATTTATTCTTTATACATCCCTAGTTTTTTTTCCTTGAAAATCGGCACATAAAGCTTTTATTGAAACAACAACAACAACTTTCCAGTGATTGAAAACATTCAATTTATAGAAAACTAGGTCTTGTAAACTGAGGCGGGTGGGCGCTGGATTCCTGGAAAAGCCAGCATGGGCGAGTTCATGTTTTCTTTGGCGACGCCAGGGAGGCCCAGGAAGCCAAGCCGGGTATCCACAGAACTACCTCTAGCCAACCTCTGCCTCTTCCCCCAGGGAAGCTGGGCAGCTTGGTGGAGGGATGCCCACAGCCAACTCCAACCCACAGCAGCAATGTGACCACTGGAATGTCCCAAGCCTCTGGCTTTCCCTCTGCCTGGCCGTGTGTAACAGGGTCCCTCCAGGCCTTACCACACAGCAGCTCATTAAGACAACAATAACCTAATAGGGCCAGCGATGCATGGCATCTGAGGCTCTTCCATTTCACAGATGGGCCCCTGGCTCCAGAGACTGGGCCCTTGAAAAGGCTATTCCACCAGGGCCAGCTATCAGGGTCCCAACACAACATGTGGCTTCGTGGAAATCCTAATTTTTTAAAAAATTTATTTATTGTTATTTAAAAGTCAGATATAGAGAGGAGGAGAGACAGAGAGGAAGATCTTCTGTCTGATGATTCACTCCCCAAGTGGCTGCAATGGCTGGAGTTGAGACCATCTGAAGCCAGGAGCTTGTTCTGGGTCTCCCACGTGAGTGCAGGGTCCCAAGGCTTTGGGCCATCCTTGACTGCTTTCCCAGGCCACAAGCAGGGAGCTGGATGGGAAGCGGGGCTGCCGGGATTAGAACTGGCACCCATATGGGATCCTGGTGTGTGCAAGGCGAGGACTCCAGCCATTAGGCTATTGTGCCAAGCCAGAAATCCTAAATGTTTTGTGTCGAAGGTATATTTAGAACCTTCTGTGGAAGATGAGACCATGAGGGTTGCCAATTAGATTGTTTACATCTGTGGAAAGTGCCTGCTACCGAAACGTCATTTCCTGCTGGATTTCACCTCTTCAAGGGGGAGCTCGCAGGGAAGAGGTGTGTACAACCTGGGCTGCTCTGGCCCTGTCAGATCATAAGCCCCGTGTCCTACCGGAAGCTGTCTTCCCTCTCACTGCCATGGTGTCATTGTCTAGAGGTGAGAAAAGGAATTCCTGACCCACTTCCAGGCTGGTTCTAAGGCTAAGTGAGACCTGAATCCCAGCAGGTTGACACCAGGGTCAGATCACTTCTGCCCTGGGCTTTTTCTCTCGCTTGGGGAAGGGGGCTCCAGGGGTACCAGTCTAAGGGTCCAACCTAACATCTTGCTTGGTTTACCTGGCTCATGCTGTCCTGGGCTGAGACTCCCTGACCTTGCTCTGCACTGGGTTCCCAGGAGCAGCATCCCAGGCCGCTGCGGGGGTTCCCGGCATTTCCAGATCCTTCCCACCCACCTGCCTGGCACCAATCCCAATGAGGGTTGAGGCAGGCACAGGCAGCCTTGCTCAGAGTGAGTTCATCAGATTCCCACAGGGGCAGCGGCTGGCGAGGGGAGGAACTGGGGTTCCTGGGCAGGCTTTCAGAGGGCAGGGGGAAAGGATGGACAGTCCACTCCTGGAAATGCAAATGTTGCAGCGTAGGGAAGAAGTAGGGGTAAAGCTGGCCACACAGGGCCACTCTCCCAGGCTACAACAGGGGCGCTTTCAGGCCTTGCAGGGATAAAGTGCTGAGAGACCCTGGGCAAGTCCTGGGCTCCCTCTTCCACAGAGGAACTGGATCAGAAGCAGGTGGCGGGAGGAGCTGGGGAAGCGCTGGCAGGTGAGGGGCGGCTGCTGGAGAGAGGACGGGCCCCAACCCTTGGCAGCAGCAGCAGCCCCCTCCCCCGGGGCCGACAGCGTGGGGGGCGGGGCGGCGCCAGTGCGCATGCCCGGCCGGCCACCGCGGCTGGGAAGGGAAGTCCGCTGCGTGCGGTGGGGTCTGGGCGCTTACCTGCAAGCCGTTGGGGTACACCTCACCCTCGGAGAGCGAGTCCACCAGGTCCTCCTCGTCCAGCGTAGCCCTCTTGTAGGTCGACATCTGCAAGGCCAAGTGCAGCACGGACTCCCTCAGCGCCTCCATGGCTCTCACGCCCGAATGGGGAAGCAGCCCCGGGCACCGCTGCCGCGCCCCGCCCCGGCCGGCCGGGGCACCGAGACCGGCCCCCGGACCGGCCCGGGGCGGGCAGGGGTCCCGCCCCTCGATCCTCCGCCCTGCCCCGCCCACCCAGGCCGCGTCTGGCCATAGGCGACCACACACCCCGCGTGCTGCAACCTTGTCGCGACGCCAGGGCCAAGCGGCACCCAGGGGATCCCACCCCACACCCTCAGGGCCAGGGGTAGATGGGGACCCGTCCTTCCCCAGATGTCGGAAGAGGGATTTCTGAATTTAAGTTCCTGGCCGGCAAGTAGGCAGGCAGGGGCCTCAGGGCAGCCACCTCCTTAAGTTTCCCGTTCAATAATGGGGTATCCCATGGCAGGTACTGAGAGTCCAGTGTGAGGCAGGAGCCTCAAATTTGGCCCCAATCAAGAAAATGGGGAGCCCTTAAGTGCTGTGAAGCCTGGGGTGGGTTGGTGGCAGTGGAAGGGATAAAGGAAATGCCCTTTCCTTTAGTGAAGGGGTGTGTGTGTGTGTGTGTGGCTGAAGGTACCCTGGTGCCTGCCCCAACCCCAACAGGTGGTTTTCCCGCAGGACTCTGGGGTAAGGCAGCAGGGAAGGGGACCCTCCCCCACCACTGCCTCAAGCAAGTGCCCTCTTGGACTGTAGGATGAGGGGTGCTCAGAGAGGGACTCAGCCCCAGCACCCTCCCTCCCACCCAAGAACCCCAGAAAGTTCTTACCCCGCCAGTCCCAAAGGACTCTCTGCTCCTGAGAAGATATGGGGGTCTCAGTTTGCCAAATGCATTTCTGTGTATTTCCAATTGGACTCTGATTCTCCCAGTCCCATGTGTGTGCCCACATGTGTGAATACACAGGCTCAGAAAGGTGAGATGACCGGTCAAGGTCATCGACTGCTGGTTTCCACTCCTGCCATCTCACTGCCCACTTGGTAGCAGCTAGAGCCAGCCTTTAGCAAGGAGGGCAGGACCTTGCCACTCATGCTGTCACCCTCTAGAGCACCAAGCCCTGCACTGTGACCCCTACCCAGCCGTCAGCTTGGGCTACCCCTCAGCTCTAGCACAGAGGCCCCAACTCCTTAAGTTTCCTGCAAGATCTTTGTAGCTGCAGTACTGTCTGGAACATTCTTTCCTCACCTCTCCTCCTCCCACGTGGCCAGCTCCTGCCTCAGGTTTTGTAAGTCACCTTTTTGAGTGTCCCAACCACCCCATGCTGCCCCCAATTCCCTATGATGGCACCTTTTTTTTCTTACAGTATTTACCGCAGTCAAAAGTGTTTGTTGCTTTTCTTTGACTACCTCCTAAGAGTCGTCAGCTTTATCAGGGTTAGGTCCTTGTCTGGCCTACCTATCACAAACTACCCACTTGCCTGGCGGGTACAGCGTGGGAATGAGTGTTGAGACAAGTGGAGGGGAAGTGCCTTGAAACTGCATCAACTTCCTGATATCTAAGGATACAGGAAACGGATCTGTCAGGGTACAGGCCCTGGGGGAAGTGGAGTGCCTGGAAAGAATTAGAATGTTTGAAACTTTTTCCTCAAGGGTGGAGGAAGTTCCCGCCCTGGAGACTGAACGGACTGCTGGGTGGCTGCATTGCTGTAGATGGAAGGATGACAGCTGGGCACTTTCTGCTAAGTGACAGGTGTCAGTCACCAGAGGAGATGACCCTTAGAAGAGCTCAGTTCCCCAGGTCCCTGGATGGGGCATGAGGCGCATTTTCCAATTCCTCTAAACCCCATCACCTTACTCTGCCTTTTATCCTTCTCTCAGAAGCAGCAAGTCCAATTCCTGGCCCCTTTACAGAAAACAATACTGTGACTGAGGGAAACCACCTGGCACGTGTGCTGACAGTGACTCCCACCCTCTCTAGACCCCAGCCAGGGTCCCCTGCTCTGTGTCCCTGCAGAGGCACATCCCCTTTGCAGCTCCACTCTGGGCGGCTAATGCAGGAAGCTCACAGACTTCCCAAATAGAAGCCAAGATGGAGCACCGATTACTTTTCAGTACACAAAAGACCCCTCCCTGAAACACCTGCAGCGAACCTGAACCTCAGCCTGGACCTGCCTTGGACGTGGAAAAGACTTGGACCGTGAGTGACTGTCCAGCGGCAGGGCAGCCCTGTCTCCATGCCTGCCCGGAGCCCTCTGAGCCCTCTGAGCCCTCTGATCCCTCTTTCCCTCTCTGGATGCAGTCCCACACCCACCTGCAGCCTGCTTCAGCAGATGTGATGACTTAGTTAATGAATTGGGCGTCCCTCACTTGATCCCCAGAGCCTGGTGTGAGCGGATGAAGGATGGGGGTTTAATCTGATTAGGGTGTCTGAAGGATGAGGCTTGGGAAGCGCTTAGATTGGATTAGGTTGTTGGGGTGGCGCCTGCGATGGAATCACAGACCGCATGCCTGTGCTCCCCACCTCTGCTTCCAGGGACGCCCAACGCGATCCCACTCTCTGCCCTTATCTGACACCAGACTAATAATGGGGACTGTCAGTTCCAAACCTGTGAGCTGAAATAAACCTCCTTCTTCCCAAATAGCTCCTGTCAGAGAGAAGTTGCCTGGCTGGCACAGCAAGCATCGCCTCCACTTTTCAGGGACAAGGGGAGCAGGAAGGAGCTGCACTGATGGAACACCTGCTATGTGCCACGTGATAGGATGTCTGCTAACCCTACAATCCCTCACTCCTGGCAAGGTGAGAATCCTCCCCTTCACCTTACAAATGAGACACCTAGGAGCCACCAAGGAGGGGCAGGACTTGCCCCCTGGTTGGGGAGCGAGCCAACCATCAGACAACTGTTCCACCCACACAGACTGCAGCATGGGGCCCCAAGCCACCCTGCAAGGAAGTCTCAAACCTGGGGCCTGAACTCCTGGGCTCACATTCCTTGTGCAAGGTGGGGTTGCTGCTGCAGGTGGGGTCCTCCTGTGGCCCAGATGCCCCAGCAGGCTGAGGTGCTGGGTGTGCAGGGGGTATGCATTCTCCATCCTCTCCTCCTTTGTGGATGTGGGAGCCACATCCCTGAGCATAGGGAAGCACAGTCACTGCTCTGGGGGTATCTCGGACTCAGCTGGCTGTGCACAGCCACGGAGGAAGAACTTGGCTGTGACCGAGAACGGCGAGGGGACTCAACTCACAGAGCTCTGTGGACTTCCTGTCTTCGCCCCCAGAGCCACAGCTGCATAGAGAAAATGAAAGCCAGATGAGGGTGGGATGTTTCCCAGCTCTGGAAATCCCATCCTGTGCACATCAAAGGGTGAGCAGCCTCACACACGCTCATGTCCTCCTGAGGACAAAGCCTCGCAGCCTGGTCACCTGCCAATTGCATCAACCAGATGGCTCCTGGGTTGACCAAGGCAGGGGAGCTTCAGGATACCTTGGGGGCAGGTCAGGGGTGGGAAAGGGCAGCCCTGAAGTGAAATTCTGAGACCTAAGACCCAGTGGCCATCCCTGCCAAGCTGTCTCCTTATCTGATTTCCAAGTCTTCTTCATTAATGATGCTGCTGTTGTGGTCAGGGACCATCGCTATGGTCTGAGGTGACTGGTCAGATCTGCTAAGCTCCTACATGTCATCCATGTGCTCCTGCCATTTGACAGCTACAACCCTATATACGAATGAGGGACTGTGGCAGGTGACAGCTCTGGATTCAAACCTTTAGATCTCCACTGGGCTACTTCCCAGCTGTGTGAGTGTGTCGCTGTACAGCTCAGCTGTCTCATCCATACATGGGGTTGGTAACCACACCACCTCCCTCTCAGACTGCCAGGAAATATCACTGAGTCCCTGTGACAGCTTAGACCAGCCGTGGGCACAAAGCTCTGAGGTGTTCATCAGTGTTAGCCATCTCAGTGGTCCCTGGGCCCTCCTGCAGGAGTGGTTCCAAGGCCCCCTGTAGACACCAAGAGCCTTGGATGCTCAAGTCCTATCTGTAAAGTGGTGTGGTGTCTGCATGTCGTCAGCGCCCATCCTCCACATCAGCTACACGTGACTCAGAGCTCCTAACCAGACGTCAGTACTGTGTGAGCACTTGACATGCACGTGGACCAGACAGACATGACTTGTCCTATTTTCAATCTGTGTTGGTGAATTGGCAAGTGCAGAGCCTGTGGACACAGGGTTTATGGAACACAGGGTTCTGCAGCCTTCGGCCAGTGCCCATCACAGGCATATTGAAAGCCGGACACCACAAATGGTCCAAACTGACCCCTCCAGGTATATCCTGCACATGGTCCTTCAGGTGTGTGACTGTCACCCAGACCTTGTCCCACCCCTGCAGGTGCTCTTCCACAACAGCACTGTATCTTGTCCTTGACATTGGCCAGACCTTGTGCTTCTGGGTGGCAGCCTCGAAGAGGGACCAGTCTCGAAAGGTCTGTGACTGATATAGTTCATCTACTCGGCCAGTGCCCCAACTACTACTCCTTGCCACCTGGAGCCTGCCTCTTCTTCCACGAAACCCTCTCTTCTGCCTATGTTGTGGCATATCCCAGTACACTAGCTGTGTTACAGTCAGGTCTTTATCCCTGGGCAGGTGGGCAGCAGTCATTTTATTACCCCTCTGTCCACACAGTGCCCAACACTGGACCTCCAACATCAGGCAGTGACAATGGGATTCGACCTGTGGTCCCCATCCCGAAAGCACATTACTCAAGGCTAATCAATAGAAACAGACATGTCCAGGGAAGGCCCTTCCTGTGGTTCCTAACTAGGGCTCCTCAAAATTCCAAGGAAATCACCAGAAGGTAAGAACATCAGAGAAATGCTGGTAACCAAGAGGCGTCTAGGCTGATACAGTGTCCCAAGGAAAAAGCACAGTAGGTGATCAGTAAGGAAATCTGAAACCAAGGCAAGAGACCCTAAGCCCCTGTCATCACTGACAAAAAGCAAATGCTGGGCCTGTCACACAGCAGGTCACGCACTGCCTGCAGC